ATTTACTTATTTACAGACCGGAATAAGTTGGTATCCGTTTCGAAAATGAAATCTGTAGTCGACTGTTCATCCTTTTCCAAAATGCCGTCAATAACTTGCAGAATTTATTATTGTTATACTGAAATCATGAAAGTAAGGTTTTCCCCGGCAATGATGAGACCAGCATTGACAACCGTGGCACTGACAGACATTCGGAAATCGTTTATTAACGAACACAAATCAGTTACAGGATATACTGGAGTAAATACCTCGGGAACAAACAACTTAGATTTAAGATACTTCATGGAATTATTCTAAGCAATGTGTCATGTTTTTTGATGTTATGAGAGTTATAAATGATTATTTTTCATGCACAAAGATGGGAAATTAGAAATTTTTAATCTCTGAGAATATAAAATGTTGATCTTTTCATGGACAATTATAAAATATGAAATATTAATGTTCAAATGTAACTAAATTTACACAATAATGCCGCGAAAATAGGTATCGTGATACGTATCGATTCGTGACATGGGTATCGTGATACGTATCGATTCATGAAACTTATGTATCGTGACATCCCTACAAATTAACAACCGTTCTTGATGTCAATCAATAAATGGTATTGCTTTATTTACTTAAAACACGAAAAATCACATCCCCTGCTACGTCTGTTTTCGTGGTATTGTTGCAAAAACTTGGAATAATGATATGATATAGGTGCTAAAAATATTACATACCTGTATATTAAACATACAACATCCCTGAATCGCGTGGCCACTTAGCTTACACGTCCTACAGATGTAGCGAGCAACGTAGTTTATACCACTGTATCCGACTGACGTCCTATACACCCATGGTAGTTTTATTTTTATTCATTTTTTTATTAAACCGATGGTTTAGCTTAAAACCACACAAGTACTTCTCCAGATAACTACGATAGAGACAAGCTTTGGATAGACGGTTGTTCGGAACAGCTGTATTAATATGTACCTGGCTCCACCGAGAAACCGCCACGTCTGGATGGGTGTCCGCCCGGGAAAGCTACATTTGAAAAATACCAATTACCTCTAAAGCCACATTTCAAGTACAAACCTCGGTGCCCGAATCACCGCGAAAACCACAATGAGTAAGGGAATCAATACCGTTTTTTCAAATAAGCGTCACCCATTGATCACAATGACATTGTTTTAGTGGGGTAAAGATAGTGGATAGTCTAGATAGGGATAAGGAATTGCCAGGAACCCATACTTGTCCACTCGTGGAATTGGATTGTCAGGCTGGAATGTTCTTACTTGGTTAAAGAACATCATCGCTTCTCGAATGCGGAGATCAGCCTCAATCACTAGACTGATTGGTCCAAACTCGATTCCTGGGTTCGGTGTTGAACACAGTTCATTAAGAAAGATGGAAGTTTGAACAAAGCAATTGAACATGTATATTTCAATAGCCCGTGTACATATACACCCTATAGTCGTATATCATACGCTACCTGTGTAAGACTTGAATTCCCACTTCGTACTCCCAGATCGGGATTATGTCATCCTGCTTGTTTTTAAATAATGTTAGTTTCACACAACAGTTGTTCTTTTTTTCTTCTAATAAACAATGAAAACTCCCAAACAACAACATGTAATATGTGAGAACTGTTTCCTCGGTAAAGTTGTTTCCCACCTCAGCTGAAAATATATCTTCAGCCATATCACATCCTAAATCAATCGACCGCCTCCGTGGTGTAGTGGTTAGAGCGTCCGCCCGGAGTGCGGAAGGTCGCGGGTTCGATCCCCGACTGCGTCATACCAAAAGACGTTAAAATATGGTACTTGTTGGTCCCTGCCTGGCGCTCGGCATTAATGGGTACATCAAGGACTGGTCGGCTCGGAGTCAGTATACTGTGTCTGAGTGGGGTATTCATGCTTCACTGCGGCATGGTATCACAGTGGGCTAGCACTATAAAATCAGCTTAAGTCTGGGCTAGTACAAGCAGCCGCACATACATATACACACGCATGCACGTCGTCATATGAGCGAAATATTCTCAAGCATGACGTTAAACCCAATTCCACCACCACCACCACCTAAATCAATCATATGTCATTGCGCTTTGTCATCACAACGAATATTTCTACATGGTGTCATTTTTTTCAAATATAAATGGATCATTTTTTCAACTTAAAAATAGGAAGAAAAAAGACTATATGGCATAAAACACAACTGATGGTTGGTATCTTAGGCGTGTTGTATTTAACGATAAAAAATACTTTCGTCGGTACAAATTTACAACACGTACAATCATGGTAGACGTTTATTTCGTACCATGGTCTTTACTGAACCAATTTGCCTTAACACACTAGCACCCAACCACAGATTACTTATACAAACTGCTGCAGTAATGAGAGATGGTTACTTAGAAAAACTCAAATTTAACAACAGATTTTCAGTTACATAAAAAAAATCAAAACAAACTTTCTTTTGCCCCTCAGTTAACACTCCAAGATTCCCTTCCAGAGGAATACCTACCGGCCTGAACCAAGCTACATACCAGTAAAACTTTGTTACTCAGCAAACATATTCTCGTGTGAACATTGCAATTAGTTATTAATATGTTGTAAAGGCTTTATACTCATCTGTAAGCAATACAACAAGACGAGCGCTCGCATTAAGTATAAAAAAATTAAATTTTTACCTCCAATTGCAAACTCCACCCCTATACATGTATTTGGAAACCACAGTTCCTCGTATATATAACGGTATACTCACTGGTTTAATCACAAATTATCCAAAACTATCATGAAACAATCACATATATACAACCTTCTATTGAAATCGTATTCAGAATTGACAGAACAGGACAATGTCGTTTATTCATACAACCCCTCACAACTATATCATCTGCATCTCTTCGGGTGTGTGTGTGTGTGTGTGTTCCAACACAGAAGACTCGCCATTATATCGCTAAAATGATGTTAAACCCACCTCAGCAATGTCCTTTAATCTCAATATCAGCCTTATGTCTTCATATTTTCAGAGACTATTTGTTGCAGCGCCTCCGGTAACGTATTTATTACTTGATTAAGGTTTTAACTATATTTTCGTTCGTTGTGAATTCTAAACCAACAAAACCTCAGGATATTTCAGCGGAAGACTTTCACATTCTCGCCCGACCTTCCTAAGGCATGAAAACTTAACAATATCACAGGGCCTCGCCAACCTGTCGCAATACATGCAGTAGCTAACAGTTAAAGTAACAAATTAAGGGATTTTTGGTTGAAGTTTTTCTTTTAATTAACGAGTATGGTCGACTTAACTAGCTTACAAAGGATAATTCTATCAACGGACCCAGCACCAATGTGCGGAGTGAGTTCTAGCAACAAGTTCCATTCTTCACCCGTAATATTCCTCGTAATCCGCCATAAGCCGAGATACGGGTAGAAAAGGCGATGTAACTTTGTGGAGAGAGCAATTACCTGTGCAGATACGGCAGTGAGGCTCGATAAGATGCAGATAGTACAAGAAGCATTGCTCAGTCACTATACACCACATCTGATAGGTCTTGTTGTAGAGCTCAACGGGTCTCAACTCAATTTAGTCTAAATACTTTACAAGTAGTTATATAGACGCCTGGATTTAATATAAAATATATAACAATGCCTTGTTAAAAACCTGCCAAAATTATAACAGACGGGGAAAAGGAAGAATACAATTGAAAATATAACTTTACCAAAAAAGTACAAACGAAACAAAAACACTACTTGGCTTAAAACAGTCTGCGAAATACTGACTTCAGTAGTATTTCTATATTGGAAATATTTAAAAAACTACCAATTCATTTACACATAAATTACGCGGTTTGACAAAATAGTATTAAATATCGAATATCTTTAAACATTGTTTCATAACTTAGGGGATGCATCATGAGAATGTGTCATGACTTGTAATATATTTTAATATTCTGATAACCGTGGTTATGCCTACGCTTTATGATATAGTATATTACATTACACTACATTACCATCGTGAAATAAATTAAGTTTATATTTCTTCTATTTTAAGTGAAGTACAAAATCACGTATTGAAAGTTGCGAGACTGGAGGCTTCCAGCTCTCAATGGCTGCCAATGAGTGACGTGATAGATCATAGAGTGGTGTACAAAGCGGGTTGGCTGTACAGTGTATGTCTACCCCTCTGACCAATGTGAAGCCGAATCTATACACCTCTACCCTACAACAAGAGGAGGGCGGTGCATGAAAACAAAACAAAATGGGGATTTACGCAACAATGCACTCTGGGAAACGAGTGTAGGTTAATGATTTAACTGGTTGAGTGGCTATTGGGGCGGGATTAGTTAATACAAAAGAGACAATAGGTTATGTTGACAGCCCTAAGGAGGAAATGGCCCGTTAGCGCATTTACTTAAGTCCTTCTCAATCCTCCATTGCCGCTGTTTGTGTGGGAGAGCTCGGTAAATATGATCAGGTTGTTAAAAGTTTACACATGAAACTTGGCTCCAATCGAAAAATGACTTTTATCTACGATGTCTATGTAACTATGGAGAAAGATAACAGTTTACTCTAGCAAGGCTGATTGAGCGGACGCATTCGCGCTGCTCTCCGCCGTTCGGCGTTGACACCTGAGTGGAGGCAGGCAAGGGGATGCATTTAGCCCTAGTTTGTTTAGCAATACTGCGGACAAGTTGCAGGGACAACCACGAGCGAAGGAGGTGACAACTGGGAACAACCTTACGTTAGTGCCATCACCTTGGACTTGAGGCAGATTCATTTCACCAGCTTACTATTACTTGCATGTAGCTATATCATCCTCAGACCCACCATGTTGGGCAGATACATCCACCTGCAGCGTTCTGACCATCGACAACACAGCTGACACCTGGACACAGAAGGATTTATGTGCTGGCTACATTTACCAAACTGTGGAAAACATTGGAATATACATATCTGTGAGATTCAAGTGTAAAGGAAATATTCTACAGTTTGAACTTCGGGAATTTTTAAAATATCAACATGATTCAGATTGACAGCCTCAGACACGCACATGGTCAGCAAGGTAAGTTATATATATTATGTAAAGTATTCTACAATGTTTCATTATGTTCATTTACGTGATCAGTGATACCAAATGACAGCTAGAATATGGACAGTGTATGCATATACTCCGCCAAATGATTCTTACTAAAATTCGGTTTTAATATTTTGTAAAACTTAAATTGACAAAATGTAATGACTGTCAACGCGAAACATGTCAAATGATGTGAATGTGTTATCTTTTCGAAAAACAACAACAACAACACTATTTGTATTGCGTAACAGCTTTGACAGTTGTTCACAGATTCGATACACAAACAGATAAATAATATCTGACTTAGAATCAGTTGTTGACTCTCCTCTCAGGGCAAACCTCCCTTGAGTAACTTATTACTTGTTAACCAAACAAGGACTTCTTTCTGTAGAGTTTGTTTGTAGACGTTACCAAGAGTTATCTCATCTCAAGCCTCTCGGCGCCAATACAGGCTTCTCTCGCAAATTGATAAGGTTCTATGCTAATATTGTGACACAAAGCTGTTGCTTAATGTTCTTTATTTAATATCATATTTATACACCGAGTTTCTTAAGTAATCAAGCCAAACTAGCTGGGGAAGATCTCATGAACGTTTTGACCTTTAACGCTTTTCAATACAGGGTTACTTGACGTGATGACGTTGTTTTCTGATTTGTTCTGTGTTCACGTGTGGCGCTCCACTTCCAGGTCTGTCGAGGCAGAGTTTTGAGTCTTCCGATTCCAACAGCTCTACCGTATCCTCCCCCGGCAGCACGGCTTTCCACCCCCTACCAACAGCCTTACCCCCCGGGGATAACAGGAACAATGGGATGATGCCCTGGACGCAGGGTGGGGCAACATTCCCCACGGCTGAAGGATCAGATGATGACGAGGGTAAGCGTCAAAACGCGTATTTCTAACGCAGCAATTCCATTACTCCTGAAAAAACTTTTAATTTGTATGAAGACATCATATATACTTATGTTAGAATAGGAAAATGTGATATGAATAACAACTGACCTGTAATGATAAATTGATAAAATTCAAAGTTCAATTTTGAGCATGACACGTGCACAGAATCTGTAACGTGGCCCCGTGATGTTAAAATACCTTTAATTAACATAATTAATTAAGTAAATGTTTATAACACACTACCCAGGTAGTGGGTCTGGTCAGACTCTCTGTCCACTAGTCGGCAGGTATCAGTTACAAGGCCCCCTCTACAGTAATGGTCAGTGTAATAGGGGACATGGTAGGGGGTTTAGGGGCAATTATCCCCCGTTAGGGGGCTCAGGCTGCACCTATAGCCAACAGCGGGGTCTCCGTGATTACAGTCCTATTCATACTACCATGGGTATTTTTCATTGTCAAAATTCTTTAATGGTTACCCGCTTTCTCGGATCCGATTTTAATAGGTAGTCGTAGCTTTATTAATAGAGGTCACTTTGTTGTCAAATGCAATAATTATCCGACGTTTCTAAATGGTGTCGATCAATTTAATTATTTGGTAAATAAAAATGAAGTATTTTTTGTGATATATAATTAATATGTTTCGTATATTGATAGAACTATAGCTATCAAAACTATGTGTGGAGTATAGCAGCTGAATTAGGCCGCTGGATAGTCACACAATATATATTAATCATTCTTAAATGCCCAGGGGTATCTTCCTACAATACGTAATTATAATTAGTTAATCCAGACGTGAGATTAATGAGTGAAAATGACAAGGATGGTTGTAAATTGCCTCGCATGTCGACCGCATGAAATGAACAAGCTGATGACACTTGACAGGTGCTTGATAACTATGACGATCAGCTGATTGGCATTTACGCGTGACATATAGGACAATCGTTGCTATTATTCATTGCTATGAAAAATGTATATTGCCATTTGAATGAGATGTTCAACCATTTACATCAGTAATATTGCGAAAACAATGTCTTCCTCCCGTGTCAAAATCAAAGATGAATATATGCATATGAATTGAATCATTTGAAATATACAGAATACTAGTATTTGTTTAGTCATTTATACCAATTTCTGTTCACAAAATACTCCTTGACATGGAGGAAACATTGCTTGCATTAGAACTTGAATGTTGGCGAGAGTTTAGTGAAAGAAAAAGAGAAAATCTTAGCTAGCGTGTCGGACAGAGAAGCTTGTGGAAAATTATACAATGTATTACTGACCTCGAGTAACATAATACAACGTTCACAACAGGAACCCGATGATAACACACATTTGAATCACGAATTAACTTTTTAATTTCTTTATTTTTCAGAATACCGTCCCTTCACTCCTCCACCCCCACGGGAGAGACTGAGCTACACCCGCTATCAGCTTGAGTTATTGAACGCTATCTATTCCCGGGTGAAATACCCCAACAGTACCCAGAAACAGCTGATTGCTAAAAGAGTCGGCATCACACGTGACCAAGTGAAGGTGAGGAAGATGCATCTACGTCACTCATTTGCTCCTAATATCAATCACTTGATTCTATGGGCCAGATTCGCTAACATGCTGTCCGCCGTCGTTTAGCTGATGCAGCGTTAAACAGCACGCACGCAGGCACGCTTACGAACTCAAATAACCACTTATATGACAAAGGCATAAGCTACATTAAATATCTAACGTCGGTGTTCATTGCTCTTTAGGTTCAACAGTTACATTTTTATTGACTACTTTTCGTATTATTCTATTGTTTTAGGACAAATGTTTTAGGATATTATGAACACATCTATATAGTGTTCTTCTTTTTGTTCAGATCTGGTTTCAAAACCGCCGCCGCAAGGATGTCGTCGGGCGTAAGCCTGGAGATAAGAAAGATGGCGTCGAGGAGAAGGCCGAGAGTCCGAAAAGTGAGAGTGCTAGTGTTGAAACCGCGGCCAAAGAATCATCTGACGTCACTGACGAAGACGCAGCAACAAACGATGTAGATGAAAAAGTACTTCCCCCTCTCGTCATGAAGAGCGTCATCGCTGAACTGATGAGGTTCGAGAACGACCCTCTGAAGAACAAGAAAAATAAGAAGAAGTCTAGGAAGCGACCTGCACCAGCTCCTGCTGTTGGACCCAAACCTCCCCAGCCCTTGTTCCAGAGCTACGATATGATCTCACCGCCAAACAGGGTCACCCCAACGGCAGCCTTGCTCAACACCGTGCCTAACAGGTTCAACCACTCCAAAGAGTGCCTCCGCTTTCCATAACCCCCGTAATCCCCGCTTACCAGGGCAGATGATGCTTCCTGGGCAATCCCCGTTCCTGATGGGGATGCCCCACCCAGCGTCTGCCAGCAGTATAACTGTGCTACCCAATGACTACGTAAACCCTCCCAATACCACTGTGCCACAGAGTCTGCCTCCAACAGGCAACCATTCCTTATATGACAGTATACCCGTTCTGGCAGATCTCCTTGGTTACCGATCTCACGTTGAAGCATCACGTCAGAGGGAGCATTCATTGTCTCAGTCTCATCTACCCTCCCAATGCTCAGCAATTTCTAGTCGCAGCCCTGAGAACAATGTATCAGAAACGCATGCTCCCCCTGCCCAGAGTGCACTTGGGTTAAATCGTGTGTTCCCCTTCCCGTTCATCGCTGATCCCCCAGTGATGCTGTCGTCCATCCGGCATTCTGACCCCTACAGACCACAGCTTCACTACCAACCTCCGTCGTATTCAGATGAACACTACCAACCTCTGGTCATTTCGTCGCTAAGCAACCCCTATTTCAATGCAACGTCATCGGTCTCCTGGGCCAATCAGAACTCAAGTGACTCAAGTGTTCACCCGTCCTCCTATACCCAGTTATAACTGGGAGAGTGAATATGTATATTGTGCGTGAATGGAATTTGCCGAAGAGTATTTGTGTGTGAATGTTTATCGTCCAGTCATTTCTGATCTCACAAACACCCACCTCAACTACCCGTGTTGTTTTTGCTTCCACGGCCACGTGTTGTAAATATACAATTATATATTTTATTACATAAAATATACAAATTCATCCCATGTTTCTGTTGTTTAACGGTTGCCACAAAAAGTGGGGGCGTTTGGGTAGCCTAGTGGTTAAGACGTTCGCTCGTCAACCTGGGTCCGATTCCCCACATGGGCACAATATGTGAAGGGGCGGTGGGGTAGCCTAGTGGTTAAAGCGTTGGCTCGTCACGCCGAGGACCCGGGTTCGGTTCCCCACATGGGCACAATGTGTTAAGCCCATTTCTGGTGTCCACCGCCGTGATATTGCTGGATTTAAAAGCGGCCCTACAGTCAGGGCACAATGTGTGAAGCCCATTTTTGGTGTTCTCCGCCGTGATGTTACTGGAATATGACGCTTTATATGACGCTGTGCTACTGCTGCTGCTGCTACTGCTACTACTACTACTACTACTACTACTACTACTACTACTACTACTACTACTACTACTACTGACCGCCTCCGCGGTGTAGTGGTTAGAGCGTCCGCCCGGAGAGTGGAAGGTCGCGGGTTCGATCCCCGACCGCATCATACCAAAAGACGTTAAAATATGGTACTTGTTGGTCCCTGCCTGGCGCTCGGCATTAATGGGTACAACAAGGAATGGTCGGCTCGGAGTCAGTATAATGTGTCTGAGTGGGGTATTTCTGCTTCACTGCGGCATGGTATCTCAGTGGGCTAGCACTATAAAGCCAGCTTCAGTCTGGGCTAGTACAAGCAGCAGCACATACACATACACACGCATGCACGTCGTCATATGAGCGAAATATTCTCAAGCACGACGTTAAACCCAATTTCACTTCACCTCATTACCAAAAGACGTTAAACATGTTACTTGTTACATTCAGTACTTCTCAGTGCCACCAATATACATGTAGTATTCCGGCGTTAGGGAACCTGGCTGGTGATGCCATTGTTGTTAGAGCTTATCAACAAATGGATTGTTAGATCAGTCACGTGTCATTCATATCTATATATCTTTATGAGTGTAGACTTGAGAGAAAATGGGACACTTTGCTGACTCATGAAATTATAAGGAACCAAAGACTGGGGAAATCAGCACTTTTCTACAAACTGGCACTGACACTACACCTTGTGGATGTATGACAGCGAGACGAGTACGGACAGATACCCGAACGTATCTATCCTCCATTATTAGTTACCGCGTCGATTATTACCTACCGAGGTTGCGCAGTACAGCATGTTTCATGAATGAAGGCAGATGCTGGTCTCCGTACGGGTGACGCAGGAAGAAAACTTGTTGACCCCTATCCTTCCTTTGCAGATTCAAGGTGCCTATTCTGTCTGCAGTACCTCTTTCACACATCAGTCCAGCGCTGTGATAAGTCTGTGATATTGTGTTTACTTTCCCACTGAAGTATTTACAGGCAGAAAACAACAGCTAACGAAATGCGGACAAAGGCGAGAAAGCATTAATGTTTCATTTACAAATATATAGTATGACCAGAAATTATTGAGAATTTTAGGAAAATGTTTATTTGGATTTCTAGTATAAACAACCTTGACCAGCTATCAAGTGCTTGGTTTCATTCAAGAGAGACAACTCCGTTAATCCCTTTTCATTAGTTTGTGAAGAGTTATCCCCCTTCGTTTACTTGCTAGCAGACGACATTTTCAGTGATCCTCAGTATGGATGATTTAGAGAAGGACATCAGATCAGCTAAAGTGATTTCAAGTAGAACAGGCATCCCTTTGTCCACTGTTTATCGTGTTTTGAAAAATATTGCAAATGGATATGGCATTGAGCACCAGGAAGGCGCAGGTAGTTTAGAAAACTTAAGGCTGGATATGATTGATAGAGGAACTGTGGCTGTCTGTAAGGAGACAATTAGAATGGCAGAAAAGTCGAGGAATTCCATCACCTGAAACCTGAACAAAAGGAGCGAAGGTTGAACTGGTGCTTACAGCATAGAAATTTTAACTGGGACAATGTGATTTTCTCAGATGAAAGTTCTGTGTGGCTGTTTCCCTAATACACTGAAATTCTGGACCAAACAAACTGAAACACCTTTGTATCAGCGCCCAAAGTACAGTCCGAAATGTAACGTGTCGGGTGGCATATCTGTGTTAGGGGCAACGCCCCTCTGTGTATTTGAAGGGAATATGAACAGTGAGCGGTACACAGATATTCTCGAGGGGACATTTACTTCCATCTGCTCACGTGTTCTATGGAAATTTTTGGATTTTCCAGCAGGACAACGACCCAAAACATCGTTCAAAGCATTCAAAGGCCTGGTTTCGGACTCAAACTAATGTTAGATTGGCCAAGCTATAGCCCTGACCTAAATCCAATAGAAAATGCCTGGGGACTTATGAAGGAAAGTGTCAATAAGAAAAATCTGACAAATATTGCTGAAATGAAAGAAGAGGTGGTCCGATATTGGGACAGCATGGACCACGACTTTCTAACGTCTTTGATCAGTAATATGCCCCGCCACATTGAAGCCTGCATTGCTGCCCATGGTGACTTGACAAAATACTAACTGTTCACCTGTCTTTGAATCTGGAGTTATGTTCTGCTAACATTCACATTTAATACATGAGTATTGATCGAAAAATATATAAAAACTTACAATTTTAAATTCTCAATAATTTCTCGTTGTACTGTATGTTCTTGAGTGTGATGCACACAGGTAACCGTCAACTGAAATGGACGTGTACGGTGTAATGATATTTTACGCCCCCTCGGTAACGTTTTCAACCCACAACTTCCACAAACAGAAACATCAATAGATTAAAATGGCTGGCTCTTTACTTTGGGGAAATTAAATACACTTTCTTAGTTTACAGACGAATGGAAAGAAGTCTTTCACACCAAGATGTCCCCACTGCAGTATTCATTGAGGTCATGTAATATGTTTTTCTATTGAACGTCAGTGGCAGCAAAGGAGTGATGCGCTCGTAATATATCGAGAGTGGCCATAGCCAATGTGCACAGGAAGCTTGGCTTAGAGATACCTCCTTAGTCGTTTGCGATCAGACTTGAGCTTTCGATTTCAGAGTGCAAAACCCCAGGGGCGGATACATCTTTTTGACAAAGATGGGTGCACATTCTTGAGAAAGGGGAAAGGGGGTGGGTGCATGGGGGCACAGAATTTGTGCCAACTTCCCATACCATTTTATGAACAGAACACCTGCCACTTTCAATACATGCCACAGTCACAAATTCTGGCCGTTGGTAAGTGCAGAGTCTTATGTAAAAAAACCCGTTACTTATGAGAAGAGCGACGTATTTGAGTAAATATTTTGATTTTGTGACACATATCAAAAACATATCAAATCCGCTGTTTCTGTGCAAATTGTTGATTATGCATTGGTCTTGTTAGGTTATTACTAACGTCTCAATTTCTGTAGGATACAGTAACATTTCTGGATGCAATTGTCCATTTCATTCTGTAAACCATCATGTTGCGTGCATGTGGCTACATGGTCTTGAAGAACACCCATTTCACCTTTATTTACTGTACAATTTATGGTCTAGCCATGTATCACAGGCACTAGGGCTTCAACGAGTCCATTTTCTTGGACTCGAGTACTCGAGGGGTGAGACTCGACTCGGACCCGAGTACTCGAAATTCATGCCTTTCAAACAAACGGTAGCGTAACCGACATGACGTGTTCCGATCACACAAGTGTACACTTACTTCATTCCGACTTCATATCGTCGTGTGACTAACATTTCCTATTGGTCAGAATCAGTATTTGGATGTTTACTTGTCATATGGGTTTTTTTCATCGTACTGGTTGTACTGCCTGCATAACGCAGTGATATACCGCACAGGCGGCATTTGGTTATTTTTCTCTTTTCACTATCCAGATCAAGACACGCCCATACATTTGATTTTTGATCGTTCTCCATGTTTGTTAAGATAGTTACCTAATAATTTTAAGAAGTGAAATCTCAAACGATGTATAATAATTACTCTCATCTGCAGACTTTCAGAACTAATACCATACAGCCACACCTTATGAGGAGTAAACTACTTAATATAGGCCTTAATAAAAACATTATTAGATGGGTTAAAGAATTCAGGGTACATAGAACTCAGTATGTCAGTGTCAATGGCTATCAATCTTCTTTACTCTCAACCTCTACTGGAGCTCCACAGGACTGTGTTCTTTCATCCGTACTCTTCGTTTTGTATACCCATAACTGTTACTTGTCATTAAATGACTTGTTTACTGTGAAATTCGCAGATGACGCCACTGTTACTGGCCTAATTTCTGATTCTGAAGCTTATTATCGTCAAGGCATTGACAAAACCGTAATGACAGTTGTTATCAAACCTTTATTCAAAGTGTGTTGACCTACAATTTTCTATGTTGGTAAGGGGCCTGTCTGATCGCAACAAAAACAAACTTTTCAAAATTGTTAATACCGCCGACTAAATTTCGAGTATATTCCCTTTATCTATGAGCGCCAGATTGTCAAAAAGGCAACTAAAATTAGATTTGATAGTTAACATATTTTATCTCACCATTTTGAAAGAGTGTGAACATTTCTTCTTTCTGGACGCTGCTGTCGATTACCTTCCCTCAAAACAAACAGAGCTCGTAAGTGTTTTCATACCCTCAAGTATTCGTGAATGCAACACATATTTTGAATTATCACCATGTGATAACAACTAGAATTTTATTCAGCCTCTTTACCTATGTGGTTAATTGAATTATATCATGTCAGTTTTATTGTGTAAATAGTTTTCGTTTTGTGCATATAATTATTGTGTATATTTTTGTGAATTGTGTACATATTCATTTTGAGACAGTTTGGATGTATAAGAATTTCCTCCGGGATAATAAAGTTATATCTTATCTTAATATTAGACGTTAACGGCCGCTCATGTTCAGCACATGGCAGACAGTCTGTCAACGTAACCCAATAATTCGAGTTATCTCCCCTTTTCGAGTCCTCGAGTCCTAGAATATGGACTCGAGTCCAGCTAAACCCGACTCGTCCTCGAGTACTCGAGTACCCGTGGAAGCCCTAACAGGCACAATCACTTTTATCAGGTTTTGTATATTTTATGAGTTAAGTAAACTTCATATATCTAAATAATTACACTACTGTCAATACAAGTGAAACAACGGCAGTTTTAATGAATATTATAATGACCAGCCACACAGAGTCTGTGTATGTCAGCAGAATGTAATTAAACAGAGAATGGGTGGTTTGAAGTGGTAGCTAAACATCATGAAAGAAGTGCTGGATACTGCAGTCTGACCAAACAGTACTGTAATATGATACAGGGCTGCCTGACAGTGAATACATACAGAGAGAGTTTAGGAATTAGCAGACTCCCTTGACCCTTTCATGGCAGCTTGTCAGGTTAGCCTCCGAGATGCTGCCTGTCTATTGCTGTACATCAAATAAAGTGTTGTGGATCCACTGATGGACTCCTATGTTTGAAGAGACTGATAATCCAGACTAAATAGCCTGTGATATATGTATGGGATGTCAAAATACCCTCATGAAACTGGCCATTCTTTGGTCTGCTGTGCCTCCATCAGCTGAAGTACGTCCTTAGCACCCCAGTATTTTTAGACTGACTGACTGACTGAGTTTGGTTTTACGCAGCTTTTAGCAATATTCCAGCAACCTCACGGCAGGGGACACCAGAAATGGGCTTCACACATTGTACCCATGTGGGGATTCAAACCCGGGTCTTTGGCGTGACGAGCCAACGCTTTAACCATTAGGCTACCCCACCGCCCCAGTATTTTTAGAACAGACTACAGTATGGTCTTGGACTACATTAAACAATATTCTGGCAATATCATAGTGGATAGACAACAGAAATTGTTTAGCTATCAGCAGCTCAGTAGCAGGTCCAAGTCTCACTTTTCACTGTTTCTACATTGTATATTGTTGATTGCAAGGCATTACTCTCTCCACTCATGAGCAGAAGAAATAAAACAAACTAAGTTTCCAAATGCAGCTGTTTAATTAATTATGTTATCATACACATTCATTTCAATCACTTCATATATGCATACCATTTACAAATAGCATATTGTTTTTTGAATAAATAGTTTATGTACAGCGTGTATGCATAAATATCCTCCATCCTTCACTCCTGTCGAGTATCACTGAACATTGCACATGACTCTCTGTACATCCACAGACACCGTACGTCCATCATGGCTCACAAACATCAACAACAACAACTGGAAGTGTCTTTGCAAAGAAAATCCATTCACTCGTCATGAATTCCACTCCAGTATCCTGACGTACCCTTTTAGAACAAAGTACTTCTTAGTCTACAGGCGAAAGGCCTCCTATTCCCTCAGGGGCATATGTCTGAAGTATGTGCATTCATTATTTGTACAATAATTAGAATAAATTACAAAATAACTTTCAGTTCAATATGGAATCAGATACGTTAATTGTTTTAAATTTAATAAAATCAAAGAGAAGACTGAAAGGAAATACAAACACAAAATGGTTCCTTGTTGACTTTGAGGGTTTAACAGTGTATGGAAAATGAAAAGTTGGTAAATAGTTACAGGAGAAAGATTTGAACATAAGTTTAAAGGACCTCTCATGCTTCCTGACAAACCTGTGACTTCTTTCTGAAAGTCATCAGTCATTGTATATGCATATCAAGTTACACAATAAAAGAGGTGAATTGATTCACAATGCTGTTGGCAGAACAGATACTGCAGTATGACATCACTGAAAGTTATTGTGAACATGTTCCCTAATATCACTATCAACATAAATAAAATAGCACAAGTAAAAAATTCCAATATATCAATATCTAGATGTTATGAGGGAGAGCAAGAATATTGAAAAATAATTTTCCATACAATTATACACGTGGGTGTGGAGACTATCTGCAAGTCAATTGACCTAATGTACACAGTAACAAAGCAGCAACAGCAGCAGCAGCTTATTTGATCTATGTGTGAAAAATACTTCTCTCAGAACTAAACAAACAGCATTTATAAAAGACATCAAACTTGATAAAAGTTAGATCTTAGTGCTGTAGTGACACCAAGATCTGGCCCTGATTTCTCGAAACAAACTTAAGTCTGAGTTTTGACTTAAGTTAAAGTTTTTACTCAAATTTGAGAAAATGCATTTCGCAGAATGAACTGAAATCGATATTAAACTCAAACATAGTAGACAATTTGAGTTTGGTGGATAGATTACTTAAGTTGTTTGGGCTTTTTTATTCTAAAAATGCAGTTGAGTTAAGAATTCAGCTGTTTCAAATTGTCAAACTCAGTTTGAAATTTGAGTAAAAAACTTAAGTTTGTTTCGAGAAATCGGGGCCTGATTGATGAGACTGAGAAGTCAGCAGGTGCTTGTGATAAGGATATGCTGATATGAACACATGTACATACAGATCATCATTAGTTCCTATAACAACCTCGTGATCAGGAATGTTTACTAACAGGAATATTATACTCTAGAGGCAGGAACATGGAATACATGCACACTATAGGTTCATATGTTCTAACAATGATAAGCCTGTCAACAGCTCACAAACAGCAGATATACACAGGACACTGAAGCTCAACAACAGCTAGGCATGTGCCACAGTGCCATCATTGTAATTCGTGAAATTCTGTATTGCCATATTTGCTTTGCGTCTCAGTATTTGGATATTGCGGAGAAGCAAGCTGAAGAATCATCAAAACTAACTTATCTTTCCTGGTGTCACAGTTTGTCATTGTCAAGCTGTATTGGGAAGAGGTAGGGGCTCTTACAGTGATGATCTGATAAAACCGTCTCAATTCATCTAGCATCGATGTGATGAGAGAGTGGCCCATCACTGAAGGCAAGAAATGAGCAGAGCATTTACTCAAGCACACTGCACACTAGCACACATACAGCAGCATGGGGCATTATGCAGCATTCTAAAGATGACATCTACACGTCATCCATTAAATGATCACTGAAAGAGTCTGAGTCCATCTGTCTGACAGCTTGGACTCTTAAGTGGGATGAAGTTTGAACTTTAAACACTATGTCAATCACATCATGTCAAGATTATCAGAGAAAAACTGCTCAGACTGATGCCTGCAAACAATGTAATGAGCTGACAGACAAAGGAACATAACAGTCAAATCTTGGATTCAAACTACGACAAGCAGATCCTTGCTCTGGCAAGGGAGGCAACTCAGTACAGTGAGTTCCAGTTCCTTAGACTACTTGGCAACCGTTGGCCCCAGCAGTTGAAAGCCAATCAAGAATCCAAATGATATGACAGGGTGGTTGATACCACTGTTCAGACAGTAGCATTGCTGTAATTTACTGAGTATAAAATAAATAGACAAAGCAAATAACACACCATTCTTGATTAATCAGCAATATTATTGGCTAGAGAGAAATTATATATTAAAAAACAGAAGCAAAGATTAATGCTGTAGTAATCCAAGACTATCATTAGCATTTGCAATGTGAATGTAAACATTGACTGCAAATCCACTTTGGTATATGTGCTACTCAGCTTTGACAGGGACAATCAGATATGGCATTCTATTTTACATATGCTTCCAATATATTAAGGTCTGTTTTGTGTATCAAGAAGAGATAAAAATATCCTTATTTTGTGGGAGTGGTATACATACATACTGTCTCAATCTTACAAGTTTCGCATCATTCATGTCCTACTGTGAGAAACCTTGCAAATTATGACCAATATTTGAAGAAGTACATAATTTCACCTTCACAGATAAGGAACAAAGCATAACAAACTTCTATACAATATACATTGTTTAAGAAAACAAAGAAATATACACTTAAAAGGTCAGTCATTAAAACCTGATGATTTCTATGAGACCAATAACCGAAAGGCCATGTAGCTCACCTGCATTGTTGAGAATCATCTTGGAAAAATAAAACTAGTGGTTCATCACATGAAAGATTATAACAGGGTTAAAAATAAAGTCATGTAAGTTGACTTCACCACACATTACATGGCAAACCACACACTTATAATGTTCAAATAATGGTAAGAAATTTGCAGATTACTTTTGTATAATATAGACATAAGTGTTCACAAAATGGAAATCGGATCGTCTTTCTTTGTATTGCTACAAAGAATACCATGTTGGGAACTGGACATTAGTTGTGAGGAATTCTGCTATATAAAAATAAATGGCCAATCGAACATTCAAACCCAGTTTATCAGGTCTTCAACTTGGAGAACTGTATTCTTGAATGAAGACACACATGCATTTGCAGCTACAATGGGATTATACTTCTTCAATGTAAGAGGATGCCTCTATCAGGTTTCCACCATTTTGAAGCCTACTGGATTAATTATTCTTATCTTGGCCCTGCAGAATGTCCATACCACTTGCATTGTGATTATATTGACTTGGTTCTACAACACTGTAACAGCTCTAGAAAGGGATATATCATTACATACCTGTATATGACCTTAACATATACAACTCAGAGAATGAATGAAAGACAAATACATGTATATGACCTGTGCAGTCGTCACCTTGTTTGTCTGTACACTATCACTACTTATACAACTTGGGGTGGCGGGTATGTCTCTGTGTGTAGAGATAGTTACAGCTGTGGTCACAGTCTGGATACAGACACAGTTTGATGCTGTTTGGCAATGTAAAGTTCAATGGGACTACAGAGTATCTCTGACACAGTCATAGCCTTTCCTAGGTTCATCGGCTGGCTATTTAGTAGCTGTGCTCCTGGGTAGCACACACAGTATAGCTTCACTACAGAGTAGTTATAATACAGTGATAGATTGACCGAGGTACAAAACTATATTATTTCCCAACTACTAGAGCATGGCTTCACTACAGTCGCTATAACACACTGATAGACAGACCCAGGTACATTAATATTATATATTTAGTAGCTGTGTTCCCAACTACCAGAGCATGGCTTCACTACTGGGTAGCTATGATACAGTGACAGAAGAAATTCAGCCGTCACAGACTAGTCTTTATACTCTATGTGTCAGCCATCAGGGACTAACACAGCACAGTGTGAATGACACTCGTGAAAATGACCTGCCCCAAAATGTCATACCATCACATTGCATCACTCGTCAAATCCATAACATAGCACTTCGATTGAAGCACCCATCACAGGCTGGTCCTTATACTCTCTGCTTCAGCCATCACAGACTAATTATACTCTGTGCTTCAGCCATCACAGACTAATCCTTACTCCATGCTTCAGCCATCACAGACTAATCCTTATACTCTGTGCTTCAGCCATCACAGACTACTCCTTATACTCTGTGCTTCAGCAAACACAGACTAATCCTTATACTCTATGATTTAGCCATCACAGAATAATCCTTATGCTCTATGATTCAGCCATCACAGACTAATCCTTATACTCTGTGATTCAGCCATCACAGAATAATCCTTATGCTCTATGATTCAGCCATCACAGACTAATCCTTATACTCTGTGCTTCAGCCATCACAGACTAATCCTTATGCTCTGTGCTTCAGCCATCACAGAATAATCCTTATACTCCATGCTTCAGCCATCACAGACTAATCCTTATACTCCATGCTTCAGCCATCACAGACTAATCCTTATGCTCTGTGCTTCAGCCATTACAGACTCATCCTTATGCTCTGTGCTTCAGCCATCACAGAATAATCCTTATGCTCTGTGCTTCAGCCATCACAGAATAATCCTTATGCTCTGTGCTTCAGCCATCAGGGACTAGTTTGTACACTCTATGCTTCTGATAACTGCAAACTGTTCATGGCACAATATTCCATGATTATCCTGACATCTTCAGTATCACATATGATCATCAGCCTCTCTTTGATGTGCTACTGGTGAATAAGGGCAGCAATGTAATGGCAATCATAGATAATCCTAGTTAAGTAACATTCAAGTGCTTCAACTATCATAAGTCTATGTTAAGGTATAGGAGTTAAGATCACCATGGCACTAAGATTGCTTTGAACAACGACACTCAGGAGTGAGTATGCTGAATTTATCTGTGTCTGTACATAAGGCAACGACAAATGAATGATCACATTGTCATCTAGTGATTCTTTTGGATTCTTTTCAAACTCCAAATAAGCCATATCAATTTGGGATAGATTAAGACTGTTCAGAAATAGTCATAGTCAGGCATCTTGAAGTGAGGCAGGCAAAAAGCAAATGCTCAGAGATAATTCATAATAATGTCGGCAAGCTGTCACTTATGATGTTACTACTTTGTTGCCCTTATTCATTCACATCAATTTCTAATGTAGAAATTATCTATTACACCTTCAACAACAACAACAATCATCATCATCATCATCATCATCATCATCATCATCATCATCATCATCATCATCATCATCATCATCATCATCATCATCATCATCATCATCATCATCATCATCATCATCATTCCGGGAAGACATCAGTCTTAAAACATCCTTTTATGGTAACATCAGTTGTCCAGCAACTACCATCACCTCCTTTCCAACAATCAGAAAGCATCATGGTTCTCACAGCCAACAACAGACCTGACAGAAGTCTTCGAACAACTGCCATCAGTTCACAATTCTTTCTACTTATAACACAATAGTGTTAAGAATCAACATCACAGATGATATCAGCCATCCAGAACTTCAGCTTAAACCTGACATCATTTGAGATTTCCTTCCAACATTTGACGTCTGCCTTTCACCCTCCACACAACCACACACACACACACACAGCCTGGTATGATTCTCTCATCAACTCTTGTCTCCCTCTCTCCATTTGTCCTCATCCTCCTTCTTGGCTTCGGGGCGGAGCTGGTTCCTCATTCCACCCAGGACTTTGGATGTGGCTTCTGAGGCGATTATGACTGGTTGCACGATGGTGGGTGGAATCTGACGGAGCACGCCTCCTACAACCCCCGTCAGCCCCTTCTGTTCTTGCTCCTCTGTGGCAGCCCGAACCAGGTTCTGGGCAGTGTCCGAAATACCCTGAATAACACAACATCAAGCTTAAAGGCAGTATATCACACCACACTTCTCTAAAAATAAATAATGTATTTCTCGCAATAATGCTAACTATCAGCCCTCAGGGAAGCTACCATATAATCTTTCCCCAAAACATTACGTATTTAGATTACACTATTAAATCAAAAAGTTCCAATGAATTAATGCAACGTAGCATTAAATTGACTCTCGTGCCCTCTACCGGATGAACATTATTTCAAGCGAACACCATAGAGTTATCTCCCTTGGAACACTCTTTACGAATATCCTATACACAACTAGTGACTGAAACCAGTTTGGCAAACACCAACAACACCTCATGCGACAGTTTTCGATGTATGGAGCAATTGTTTACATTCCATATATGGCAAGTGTTCTCTGTTTGGAAGCTGTTCACCTCGAAGTTTCAATTATCGATTTCAGGCAGGTTGTAAGGGATAATAAGTCATTTATCGCATCAATAGGAAGCTAAAGTGAGTGCATATGCCCCAATATATATAATAAATGTAAAAATATTGTAAAAAAATGTGTGACATTGTGCCTTTAAGTCATACTTATTGTTCTAGAACTGTGACTTGACAATGCAAATGGACAATGTCTGACATATGGGCCAGCATAACTTCCTGCTAGAGCCATATCTATTGTTCTAGGATGGAAGGTTATCAAAATGAGAGGTTTGAGCTTTATTACAAATTAATCAATAATGTACTATTGTTGTTTATCAAAGGACAATACTGACTGACTGAGTTTGGTTTTACGCCGCTTTTAGCACTATTCCAGCAACATCACGGCGGGGGACACCAGAAATGGGCTTCACACATTGTACCCATGTGGGGATTCGAACCCGGGTCTTCGGCGTGATCAAAGGACAATAATGATTTTAAAGTCACGTTTTCAGCAAGCAGACTAGTCATAGTCAGACCTGCTGGTTATCACTATGACCTCTTAGTCAGTGATCACATATCCAAGCACTACTGCATGCAGTTTACTCTTGACATAAAATTCATAAACTGATTCTCCTTTAAATACTACAAATTTAGTGCTTCATATAATGTCAATTTTTTTTTTCATAAAACAAAAAATATCCTTCCTTTCAGCTTTTAACTACCATCTTATAAATACAATTATTAATCCCTGTTGATGTGATTCCGTTTAAATACAGCACGGTCAAAGAGTTGACCTACCTCTCTAATCACAATGTAAGCATTGGTCATTCCTTCACGCATGTCTGATGGCTGTCCCCGACGGACATGTTGTTTGGGACGTCGTGTGCTAGTCTTGCGAACGCTTGGCCCCGGGGACAGCATATCGTAGGTTAACTCAGCCACGTACTGGAGAACAGAGGAAATACAGATTAAGCATTCATTCAACAATATTTGCATATAACACTCAAAATAGTCAAAAATAGGAGGCTTCTGTCAGAATGTCGTACATGTTGAAGAACATGGACAGATAAGCGTTAACGACTGGGTATTGCACACGTGTGACAGTACTGACATGGAATACAGAAGCAACCCACCTGAATGGACTGCACCAGTTTGTTAGTGAGCTCCAACAGAGCCATGGCCGTGGATGTGGTGAAGGAGCTGGCTCCACGCTGGAGACCACGGACAATGCGGCCATCTTTGCGGTACTGCTCCACTGGCAGCCAGAAGAGATCCCTCATGCCGTGCACTGAAGGTGATATATAGGGCATATGTTATTGCATTATAACTGCAAGCATGATGCGGCTTTTGTAACTGAGCAGAAACAAGTGTCTCTGTCATTTCTTCTGGAGAGATCACTCTCCTTTAGGGTATTCCAGATACATAGCTCAGATCTTTTTCTCATCTCCATATATGATATAATAATCATGCATATCCTTACTCAGACTGTGCAAATTTACATTGGTCAGAGGGTGCATAAAGTATGTGATCTAGAGTACGAGTTATTAAACTTTTATTTTTTGTGGAAGCTGCAGTGGTTGAGGGCTGTGTACCTTATGGTACCTTATTCTCTAAAATTCTTAACTTTGTAGCCCTAAGAATTCTTAACGAATGTTGACCGTAGCCAGTGTGTCAAAGAATGGTCTTAAGGTGAAGAAGTTCATACTTTAACAGAGACTTACGACTGTCAATGTTTTGGGAACGCTTTGAGGAACTAGCCTGGTGATTAGGCATCATATTCTGAAAGTGTTGTACCAATCCTAGATGGAACTCCCACCCCAAAAGAACATTAGAATCTGTCCTTTACTGAGAAAGTGTAATCCTTCATATAACATGATACAATATGCCAATACGTCATGAGTGTTGTCGGTATGACCATTAAGGTAAGTCAGTATGACCCTGACAGTAGTGACTGGTTACACAGCTATCCTATCAACACACAGTGTTGTGTAGGGGTCACTATTGAGGGAAAAACAACTATTGCGATAGCGTTAGTCTATCGTAACATGCTATAGCGATAGTCTTTTGCAACCAACTATTGCAATACTATTGCAATAGTTTTCTTCTTGAATTGTCTCATTTGAAGTCATTTTCCAAATGAATGTATAGTTTATATGAAATAAAAACAAGTTGAAGTAGTTTCAGTTTCAGCCTCTTTTAATACCTGACAAGAAACTTGAAACCCAGATCAAGTAAACAGGTAACAGGGGCAGATAACTCTAAATCAAAGTTAACGAATGTGGTACTTCCTGCAGTTTGCGCTCCGCATTTATCAACAGAAGTCAATTACTAAACAATCGATAGTCACACATACTATCAATGCATCAATAGCTTTTCGTTTCTACCATCGATTAATTGCTATCGGTGACTCAACAATTGCAATCCATCGATAGTTCGATGCATCATTACAGCCCTAGTGTTATGACTCACCTATCTGTACAAATGAGTACATAGGCCCCACTCCCCCCAGGATGCTGGGCAGCTGGGTCTTCTTGATGTCATTCAGCCACTCACTCACAGCATACTTGGCCAGTTTGTCCATGCCCAGCAAGCTGCAGAAACACAAAACAACAGGTTACTGACCAGCGTCCACTTGCACAATATGATCTTACCATTATGACAGTTGTAACTGTCATACTTTTAACAGGTTTGTGACAGTCGTAATGCCAAGACCCTATGTGTGAGTGGGGCTGGATCAGGTTACACAGGCTTCCTGGACCCATGGAGAGAATTCAAACACAGGACCAACCAGGTGCTACTGCCAGTTGGAATAAGTTTCAGAAAATACTTGATAAAAAAAAAATTGACTGGGTTTAGAATTGTTACTCAGCAACCGATGCTTGTGGTGAGAGGTGACAAATGAGATATTGCTGATCGAGGAACTAAACAACATTCATTCAATCTAGCCTTCTATGGGACACCATATTCCAGATGTCTGGTTATGTAGTGGTCAATTAAATTACTCAGAATATATATTTGGGATAGTGAAATGTAACTGATTTCAATGTGTCACCTTAACTTATTACGATCTTTACATATATTTCACTTACCCATGCTTGTAGTTGAGCCGCTTCAGTTTGAGCTCAGATGAATTCAGTTGAGCAAGGCCTACCAACAATCCAGCAAATGTTCCCTGTAAAAAATATTTAAGAGTTTGATGTTGTGCGGTCGTGTAAGGGATAGCCAGACACCTGATGCATGTAAACAAACATGTTCAGTTGCATTTTTTCAATATTAGGTTGCACTAATGCATATAGTCAAATCAAGCCCTGTACGACAATACTGACATATATATTCCAGAGACATTAACGGTGTCTTACCTGCTCCATGTCAAGTGCCACTCGAAGCTAGCAATTTCCCATGGTAGTCCAACCGTATTGGCACATCAGGTGAAAATATGAAAGACCTGCAATACAAAGGTATAACTACAAAACCTGATAAAGCAACAACCCAAAAAACCCTACAAAATCAGACTCAACATCAAGACTGTAAAACATTCTAAGAGGGAACTGACACTGTTTCTAAATCCCCAAGGAAGTGTATTTGGGGGGAGGGGGGAGGGAAGGAAAATAAACAGTGAAGAAACTTAATCAGTAAGTGAAGTGAATGAGTCCAATGTAATCCATTTCTTTTGAAAGGGGTAGCTTGAATAGGTGGTGTGTATGGATTTTGATAGTGAAAATATTTTGTAATTTAAAAAATATATACAGTAATCAGCTGTAATAAAGTCAAATAATGGCTTGCTCTTGAGGTGCTCATAATATCTCTCTTTCATATGAAGGGTAATTCTAATAATTTCTCCATCTCAAGTCAAGTAACTACTGTCAATGAAGTTGTAATTGAGCAAAGCATTAGTTCTACTAACTTGAAGAAGACTGGCTGAGCCCCATGATCCGATCCCGTGGATGATGTTGTGCTCTCAGTCAGTTCCTGGTATCACAACATTAGAATCCAGGTTCATCTCATCAAACATGATGAGCAGATCCTGCTGGTCCGGTCCAGCCTCTTCTTCTGGGCTCAGATTGACGGCCATTACCGGGGCGGGAGGGGCAGGAGGTGTGGAGGAGGCGGTCCCTGGCTTAGGGCTGCCCACGGGACTCTCGGGGACAGGCACAGACTTGCTGTGAGGAGAGGGAGCACTCCCCCCAGACAGCTCCATGAAGAACTTCCTCAAGAAGAACAGTGCATCCTGTGGGCAAATCATCCACTGACTCAATAGGATTCCAAACTGTGTACTACAGTGGGAAATTATTTACCGGAAATCGTTTTTGTGCTCAATTGTGTTTCAGGAGCCATTTCTAAGTCATTATACTCACTGAAATTTGACTTATTGAGCTCCATTAACAAAATTATATACAAAATAGACATGATTTAAATCCATCATTATTGTACGAGTCTTTTCATAAACACTAGATGAGGAGACCTTTTTGGACATTTTTTTCAAATGTTCCTGATCACAGCCATTCATGTATTAGACATAATGATCACATCAAACACTGGCATGATGACTACTTGATAAGATTGTTTAGCTGGCAGTGTAAACAAGTGGGTACTGACCTGGTCAATGTTGAGTCTGAGCGGGAGGAGGGACACCCTCAGGGTGCATTCCTGCTGGATAGGGGAGGACTCTGGCCGGGTGTGTAGCGCCTTGACCAGCAGCTGAAGCATGTGGACACAAGATGTCAGCAGTAGCACAATAACATCACATCATAATAACACAGAAAATTCATTCACTGCACAGGTGATAAACTACACATGTGTCTTTTAAGGCCTTTAATGGCTTTTTTCAAAATTCATTACCATATTGGCATGTGTTTGTTTTGGCATGTTCTCGGAGGTGTACTGGTAAAGGAACTTGTTGATCTGGGACGTCGCCAGGCGGTCTCGGACTTCGAACTCGGAAATGATGAGGACCTGTCTGGAGGCTTGCCTGGTGTGGACGGGGTAGACCTCATGTTGACATCGAACCTGGGGAAACAACCAGGCTTCACATAATAACATGTACTTGGAAACATCTAGGTATCGGTATGAACTGCATTATCAACACAGATCTCAATTAGTCACTTCATCAGTGTGAGATATTATGATGAACAAATGGTACAGGACAGAACAGGTTCAATGATTATAGCTGCATAATTATTTGTTAGCTACCAGTCAAAAATAAATCAAAATTTGATATTGATAAATAAATAGATTTAAAATTTAAAAGAATGAATGAATGAATGACTGACTGGACTGACTGAGTGACTGACTGCTTGAATGAATATTTCAGCAATATCAAGCTGGGTGACAGCTAGAAAGTTAACATTGTCCCATGTGGGATTGAACCAGGGTAAGCGCTATTGAGCTGAACGCAGCTTTAACCACTAGACTACCCCAACGCCTGAATGAATAAATGAATTATTAAGAATGAATGAAAGAATGAATAAAAGTTAAGAATTCTGCTAAAGCTGCATGTGAGGTTTAGAAGGTTAATAGTCACATCTCATGATACCAGGTTCTTCACATATATTCCAGTAATGTGATGGTGATCTGTAAATATATGAGTCTAGACAATACAATCCTGAGATTGATAGTATGAAGACTGATCCAAGCTATCAACAAAGTTTAAGTCTGATCACAAAAAACACGTGGTCACCTCATATTGCAAGCATAGGTTGCTGTGGACCCATACTAACCCAAAGTCCATCAATACTGAATATTTATACATTCTACAGGCACCCACCTTGGAGAGCTGCAGCTCTATGAGTGTGTTGAGATCTCGCTGCGGCCCTCCCCGTGACTGCCAAGTTGTTGGCTGTCTGGTGGATATTTTCACGCCTCCTCCCCCGTGGCCCGGCAGTCTGTGGTTACATACCAACCTCAGCACAAACCTACATCTTCATACTTAATTATTTATTTAAGTTTTAAGTGATGTGACGTAACTGGAATCGAGTGAAACATGCTTTAAAGAATTCACAAATTCATCTTAGTGAGTGAGTTATTAACATGCAATATTTCAGCCATAGTTGAATTCACAAATTCACTTAAATAGTGGTTCATAGATTTGTTGTCTATTTACTGACCAATATCAGATTACCTTGAGAGTGTAAATTCACCAGAACCTAGTGAAACAAACATGTATATAAACTAATTGTTCATATAATTGCTGTCTGTTAGTTGACAAATGTCAGCCTACCTTGGGGCTTGGGTGATGATGATGCACTCGAAACATCTGCAACGGAAGATGAAATAACAGTCACAAACACGGAACAATAAAGACAATATGGAGGGTGACTATTCTGCCCTTGAATCACCAGACTAACTGGACTGACTGACTGAGTTTGGTTTTACGCCCGTTTTAGTAATATTCCAGCAACATCACGGTGGGGACACCAGAAATGGGCTTCACACAATGTTCCCATGTGGGGATTCGAACCCGGGTCTGCGGCCTGACGAGCCAATGCTTTAACCACTAGGCTACCCCACCGTCCCCCAGACTAACTGGAAGACACATGAGATTCAGGAACCTTTCTGTAATCATGAGGTTTTGGGGACTGATTCTATACCAGGGTGTAGTTCCTCAAAGCAATCTCAACTCTAAGGTTATCGTAAGCTTATGTTGAAGTATGGTAGTTATGATCATCTTAGTGCTAAGATTACTTTGTAGAACAGGTCCCAGTACATAGCCGTATTCAGTTATTTATAGAGGAAACATCCATTTAAACCTAACTTGATGTTCAAAAAGTGATCACTAAATTTAGTTCAAGTTTACTGTATGAACCATAAGTTAAGCATGGCCTTAGTTGATTCACCTGCTCTCTCCCCAGAGAAGTCCTTGCCCCCGTACATGTACCACACCAGGGTGAGCTCCTTCAGTGTGTAGCGGTACTCCGCCGCAGGGAAGTGTTCTGGTGGTTTCAGCTGGTCAGTCTTACCCAAGGGCTGACTGAAGTAGTTGTCCTTGATACAGATTGGGCCCTTGGTCAGCACACGTACCACTGGTTGACCATCTCGTGGCTGGAAAAAGAGTTATACTGATGTAATCTGGATTAAATCAAGCTTGATCAGTAAAAGACCATCATATATTTGATGCCAAAGATGATTTAACAGGCTTCATAAAGATATGTGTCATGAAAAACCAAGTCTTTCAGCATTTGCATAGCCAAACATACTGTAAACGTACTTTTTTTCGCTTTGGTGCAAATTTCGCGGAATTGACAGTTTAGACTACATCGCGCGGTCAATTATTCATGCAATCAGTAATTGCCGGAACTTCAAGCTGTCTCTTAGGACTCAACTAATAGCAATGAAAACAACCAGAGTGGCTTAGCCTGTCAGGTAGCGTGTTTTGCTTACTCACAGGAAATCCCTACCTGCGCGATATATACAGTAATACGTTTACTCACGGAAGTATTAAGTACTTAGGAAGTGAGATATCGTGATACAAATATAAAGAGATGAAAAACACATCAGTCTTATGTTCCTAATTCTGAAGATCTGACGATGGCATTGCGAAATTGACTATCAAGGAAATGAACTTCCCTTGAAGTATATGAAGCTTTTTGTGATTTCATTTCGTGATATGGAGGAATAAATATAAAAAAAATCTTAATGAATAAAAAAAATACTGCAGTATTATTTCTTTCCGAGTCATGAGAAAGCCACAATAACTCGGTGTGCCTAGTCGCTGCAAGAGTTGTATACTCCCCAGGGAGTTGAGATTGATAATGCGATGTGCCGTTGAAATTGACATCCAATCATCGAGGGAAAAAATACCAGCGCCTTGAGCATGCACTAGCGCGTGGATATGTGCGCTATATAATTATCCTATAATAAATAATAATAAATAAAAAAAATTAAAAAATTCATGGTAATCCGTTCTGTATCAAACCATCTGTCACTTCGATTGGTCAAAATAGAACATGTGAGGACATTTGGGATATCCATTTCAGCGACAGTAAAGTATGATTCTTTATGCACCTATCAGTCGTCATTTTAAGATTCCCGTAGATTTCTGTCTTCAAACTTGATGTGTTATGGTAACAACTCAGAGGCGAGCGTGGGTTTATTCGCTGTGTATAAATTTTCGCGGTAAAATAAAACCTGCGTCATATATAATACGTTTACAGTAATACTCAATAACCTTCCCAAACTGTAGACACTGTAATACAACATGATGTGTAACACATATGTGTTAACAAAGTATTATAATGAGTGTGTATTAGTTTACGCCACTTTTAGCAATATTCCAGCTACATCAAGGCGGGGGACACCAGAAATGGGCTTCACACATCGTACCCATTTTGGGAATCGAACCAGGACCTTCGGCGTGACAAGCAAACGCTTTAACCACTGGCCTACCCCCCACCTTCCCCCACAAAGTAATATAATGGTATTACAGGAAATATTGAGTAGAATGGGGATCTGCTTGAACTATGTGATCACCAAGCATGTAATCAAAGTTCTGCAACTCCTGAGAACTTCCTCTTCTCGGCCATGAGAGTAGTCTCCCTTGAACAACCATATCACCCAGCCTCACTCTACATGTTTAATGGTTTCACATGATTTCATATCATATAGAAGTAACTATTTGTTTCATCACAAAGAACATTTAAAGTTTCTGTCACTACTGTTATCTTCCCGACGTACTCCTCAATTTACAACTATCCCCCACAGGATCATACAACTCAACTTACAACTATCCCCCAGCCAGGATCATACAACTCAACTTACAGCTATCCCCCAGCCAGGATCATACAACTCAACTTACAACTATCCCCTAACCAGGATCATACAACTCCTCAACTTACAGCTATCCCCCAACCAGGATCATACAACTCCTCAACTTACAGCTATCCCCCAGCCAGGATCATACAACTCAACTTACAGCTATCCCCTAACCAGGATCATACAACTCCTCAACTTACAGCTATCCCCCAACCAGGATCATACAACTCCTCAACTTACAGCTATCCCCCAGCCAGGATCATCAATGATACGGAACTCATCATCATCGCTCAGCTTCTCGGTGCGGTCAGACATGGTGCTGCTGGTCACAGACTCTGCACTGGTCGAGATGACGATCGGACGCAGGCCAGCTGGAGGTACCTGACCTTCACCTTGGGTATGAGTATTTGGCAAGAAGAAAACTTGTGTCTTGTTGTCGGAACTTTGTCTTTCAGGAGATTCTGGAAAAGGTAGTAATCATGTTGCATTTAATTTAGTAACATCCCTGAGTGATACAGTAGGCTTGATTTTTATTATTTCTAGGTGTTCATTTAAGGATAAAAATGTTACTAGACCTGATAATGTCTGAGCAGAAAGGAAATACTCCCATGTGCAACCTGGAAAAAAAATATCTATAATCCATTTTCGTTGGAGTGGTTTAATTTGTTACATTCTCTGGGCAAAGAATGCAACCGCACATGGCACCCACCACTACATTCAACATGACTGCACCCACCACTACATTCAGCATGACACTCACCAATACATTCAACATGACACCCACCACTACATTCAGCATGACACCCACCACTACATTCAACATAACACCCACAACTATATTCAATAAGACACCCACCACTACATTCAACATGACACCGACCATTACATTCAACAAGAAACCCACCACTACATTCAACATGACAACCACCACGACATTCAGCATGACACCTGCCACTACATTCAACATGGCACCCACCACTACATTCAACATGTCACTCACCACTACATTCAGCATGTCACACACCACTACATTCAACATGAAACAAACAAACTATATTCAGCAACACACCCACCACTACATTCAACATGACACCCACCACTACATTCAACATGACACTCACCACTACATTCAACATGACACTCACCACTACATTCAACATGACACCCACCACTACATTCAGTATGGCACTCACAACTTCATTCAATATGACACCCACCACTACATTCAACATGGCACCCACCACGACATTCAGCATGACACCTGCCACTACTTTCAACATGGCACCCACCACTACATTCAACATGTCACTCACCACTACATTCAACATGACACCCACCACTACATTCAACATGAAACAAACAAACTACATTCAGCAACACACCCACCACTACATTCAACATGACACCCACCACTACATTCAACATGACAATCACCACTACATTCAGCATGTCACCCACCACTACATTCAACATGGCACCCACCACTACATTCAGCATGAGACCCACTACATTCAGCATGACAGCTACAACTACATTGAACATGACACTAACAACTACATTCAATATGACACCCACCACTACATTCAACATGGCACCCACCACTACATTCAGCAACACACCAACCACTACATTCAGCATGACACCCACCACTACATTCAGCATGACACCCACCACTACATTCAACATGACACCCACCACTACATTAAGCATGACACCCACCACTACATTCAGCATGACACCCACCACTACATTCAACATGACACCTACCACTACATTCAACATGACACCCACCACTACATTCAGCAACACACCCACCACTACATTCAGTATGACAACCACCACGACATTCAGCATGACACCCACCACTACATTCAACAAGACACCCACCACTACATTCAACATGACACCGACCATTACATTCAACAAGAAACCCACCACTACATTCAACATGACACCCACCACTACATTCAACATGACACCCACCACGACATTCAGCATGACACCTGCCACTACATTCAACATGGCACCCACCACTACATTCAACATGTCACTCACCACTACATTCAGCATGTCACTCACCACTTCATTCAACATGACACCCACCACTACATTCAACATGAAACAAACTACATTTAGCGACACACCCACCACTACATTCAACATGACACCCACCACAACATTCAACATGACACCGACCATTACATTCAACAAGAAACCCACCACTACATTCAACATGACACCCACCACTACATTCAACATGACACCCACCACGACATTCAGCATGACACCTGCCACTACATTCAACATGGCACCCACCACTACATTCAACATGTCACTTTCCACTACATTCAATATGACACCAACCACTACATTCAACATGACACCCATTACATTCAGCATGACAGCTACAACTACATTGAACATGACACTAACTACTACATTCAATATGACACCCACCACTATATTCAACACACCCACCACTACATTCAGCAACACACCCACCACTACATTCAGCATGACACCCACCACTACATTCAACATGACACCCACCACTACATTATGACAAGCATGACACCCACCACTTACATTCAGCATGACACCCACCACTACATTCAACATGACACCCACCACTACATTCAGCATGACACCCACCACTACATTCAGCAAGACACCCACCACTACATTCAGCATGACACCCACCACTACATTCAGCATGGCACCCACAACTACATTCAACATGACACCCACCACTACATTCAACATGACACCCACCACTACATTCAACATGACACCCACCACTACATTCAACAAGACACCCACCACTACATTAAGCATGACACCCACCACTACATTCAGCAAGACACCCACCACTACATTCAGCAACACACCCACCACTACATTCAGCATGACACCCACCACGACATTCAGCATGACACCCACCACTACATTCAACAAGACACCCACCACTACATTCAACATGACACCGACCATTACATTAAACAAGAAACCCACCACTACATTCAACATGACACCCACCACTACATTCAACATGACACCCGCCACTACATTCAACATGACACCTGCCACTACATTCAACATGACACCCACCACTACATTCAACATGTCACTCACCACTACATTCAACATGACACCAACCACTACATTCAACATGAAACAAACAAACTACATTCAGCAACACACCCACCACTACATTCAACATGACACCCACCACTACATTCAACATGACAATCACCATTACATTCAGCATGTCACTCACCACTACATTCAACATGACACCCACCACTACATTCAACATGAAACAAACAAACGTCATTTAGCGACACACCCACCACTACATTCAACATGTCACTCACCACTACATTCAACATGACACCAACCACTACATTCAACATGAAACAAACAAACTTCATTTAGCATGACACCCACCACTACATTCAGCATGACACTCACCACTACATTCAACATGACACCCACCACTACATTCAGTATGACACTTACAACTACATTCAATATGACAACCACCACTACATTCAACATGACACCCACCACTACATTGAACATGTCACTCACCAATACATTTAGCATGTCACTCACCACTACATTCAACATGACACCAACCACTACATTCAACATGAAACAAACAAACTACATTCAGCAACACACCCACCACACTACATTCAACATGACACCCACCACTACATTCAATATGACACATTCAATATGACCCACCACTACATTCAACATGGAACCCACCACTACATTCAACATGGCACTCATCGCTACATTCAGCATGTCACTCACCACTACATTCAACATGACACCCACCACTACATTCAACATGAAACAAACAAACTACATTTAGCGACACACCCACTACTACATTCAACATGACACCAACCACTACATTCAACATGAAACAAACAAACTACATTCAACATGACACCCACCACTACATTCAGCATGACAGCTACAACTACACTGAACATGACACTAACTACTACATTCAATATGACACCCACCACTACATTCAACATGGCACCAACCACTACATTCAGCAACACACCCACCACTACATTCAGTATGACACCCACCACGACATTCAGCATGACACCCACCACTACATTCAACATGATACCCACCACTACATTAAGCATGACACCTACCACTACATTCAACATGGCACCCACCACTACATTCAGCAACACACCCACCACTACATTCAGCATTACACCCACCACTACATTCAATATGACACCTACCACTACATTCAACATGGCACCCACCACTACATTCAGCAACACACCCACCACTACATTCAGCATGACACCCACCACTACATTAAGCACGACACCCACCACTACATTCAACATGACACTCACCACTACATTAAGCATGACACCAACCACTACATTCAACATGGCACCCACCACTACATTCAGCATGACACCCACTACATTCAGCATGACAGCTACAACTACATTGAACATGACACTAACTACTACATTCAATATGACACCCACCACTACATTCAACATGGCACCCACCACTACATTCAGCAACACACCCACCACTACATTCAGCATGACACCCACCACGACATTCAGCAAGACACCCACCACTACATTCAACATGATACCCACCACTACATTAAGCATGACACCAATCGCTACATTCAGCATGACACCAATACATTCAATATGACACCTACCACTACATTCAACATGGCACCCACCACTACATTCAGCAACACACCCACCACTACATTCAGCATGACACCCACCACTACATTCAGCATGACACCCACCACTACATTCAGCATGACACCCACCACTACATTCAACATGACACCCACCACTACATTAAGCATGACACCCACCACTACATTCAGCAAGACACCCACCACTAGGTTCAACATGACACTCACCACTACATTCAACATGGCAACCACCACTACATTCAACATGACACCCACCACTACATTCAACGTGACACTCACCTGAGCTAGACGAGGAGGCCTCAGATTCCTGCATTGCATCAACCATCATGGTGCTGACATGCTCCAAGCGGGACTCCGTCATCAGGTAGCTTTCTGGGACAGTGTCAGGTACAAGTGAAGATTCCCGGGACTGTAAAACATAAGACATCACCATCAATAATACAAATAGAATCAAATTACATCTGCTTGTTTTGCTAATAATACAGAGTCTATGTCCAAACACTTCATGCACAAGCCCACACTTGCCTCACAGCCTCACTTTCAGTAGACTTTACACAGAATCTATTAGCTGGTGATCTTGCTAGACTGAAAAGAATTTTACTGGAATTTTACTCAGACTCGTGGCTGAAGTTGCAGACTATAGGTTAGTGGTGTACAGAATGTCAGAGAAACATCACCTCGATGAGTATAGAGCTCTGGCTAGCTATTCTCGAAACGTTCCTAGCCCTACAAACTTCTTAAGCCCATTCTTAACACATTGGCTATGATCAAACTTAAGAATTCTTACGGCTACGAACATTTCGAGAATAAGGGCCAGGCTAGCTATTCTCGAAACGTTCGTAGCCCTACGAACTTTTTAAGTTCATTCTCAACACATTGGCTACGATCAAAGTTAAGAATTCTTAGGGCTACGAACATTTTGAGTATAAGGGCCCTGGTTTCTATTTTTAAGCTAAGCATTTATGACAAACACAGCATGGTAGTTATGCAGATCGACAGTCTAATGTAGCATTGTACTAATGTCCTGTAATAACATATGACTCTTCCACTAAGCAAAACAGTACCCTTCACAACTGCTTTTGAAAAACATTTTAACAGTTACTGGGTTATTTAACCCTTAACTAATGAAATCAATCTGCGGCCCTGACAATGAAAGGAACACTTGAGAGAGTGGTAAGGAGTACTAACCGGGTTGCTGGACATGAAATGAGTGGCCTCCTGAGGTTGGCTATCGGTGGGGATGAGGTCCCCCTCATCGGCAAAGTAACGAATCAACTCTGTGAGGGCCTTACACGAGTCAGCACATGTGCGGATATTCACACGATTGGTAGATATTCTCAAGTCTGTCTTGGCAAACTTCTGTGGAATATATGATCCAAGACAGCTGTAATACTGACAAGACAACGTATACAACACAAAAAACATTTTAAAAATCAAAGAATCAGGTAATATTACACCGAACATAGTAAGTAAAATAGTAAGGTAATGTCATACTGACAAGACAACGTATACAATACAAAAAACATTTAAAAATCAAAGAATCAGGTAATATTACACCGAACATGGTAAGTAAAATAGTATGGTAATGTCAATGCTGAATGGCAAATTTGAACATCTGGACCTAGATTTTCGAACATTCGTAGCCATAAGAATTCTTTACTTAGATCGTAGCCAATGTGATAAGAATGGGCTTAAGAAGTGCGTTGAGCTACGAACGTTTCGAAAATCTAGGCCCTGGTCAAGGGATTAGTCAAAGATAAATCTAGGCCCTGGTAAGATTACTCAAAGATAATTCATTCTTTTGTTTATCTGCCTGCTCAAAATCTCAGTTCTCAGTTCACTGTATCAGTCGTGCTGTGAAATTTGGTTTGGGTTGAATGTTTGGCTTCGAAATGGTTTTAAACACATGCCATAACAGCTTACTTTTGAGACCCCCAGTACACTATCTACTGGTGTCTATACACAGGTCCAGCTGCAGCTCCACCTACCTGGTCCTTGCCATCACTGGTCCTCAGGGACAGCTCAAACCTCTCCAGATCCGCTACACACACATAGTCTGTAACACAAGGTACACCTCTCAACAGTACATGCCATACACACCTGACACCATTACATGAGGTGACGGTAGTCATATCACAACTTCTACACCTAACATAAACATGGCAGTGGTAGCGCCTTAAGACAGGAAGTTCACATAACAGAGGAATAGTTTGAATACAAATGTATTTGATCATACTTCACACAGTGAATATCTTATATTGCAACAACATTAGGTACATGAAACATGTTTTGACAAACGCGCAAAACTGTAAGTAAAGAAAAGAGAAATCATCAAAATGTAGTTTACAGAACTGTAACATTGGCAACAGCTTCTGTGTATGAATGTAAGCTCTGTGGTTCGATCTCTGGCTGCATCTCACCATAAATGTTACAAGATGGCAATTGTTACCTTGCCTTGTGTTTAAATCTTAGGGCATAAAACAATATCTGGTCAGATCAGGGGTTGTTGTATTGAGTCTTAGTGGAGCATCCATGGGATGGCATCTCAGGGGGCTCTCTCTATAGACTGGTCTTGTCTGGAGTAGACCAAGCAGCCACACAAACAGACACATCACTTAATAAGGTCCATAATCCTGAACTGTAAGCCCACTCCACCTCACCACTAGTGTTGTCACTCTGTTGGTGGCGGACAAAGTTATACTGTATGTATGTCTTACCTCTTCTAAGATTCACCTCCATGTAATTCTTGATGGACAGAAATAGAGCTGCATCATCAAGGTGGAACCTGACAGGTAACAATAACATGTGTAAAAATCATGCACAGGGAACAAACAGCCAGACACGAACAGCTACCATTTTACAAAACTACACACCAATGAAAATACATGTTAGAATTGATCTTCAGCAACCCATGCTTGTCGTTAGAGGCGACTAACAGGATTGGGTGGTCAGGCTCGCTGACTTGGTTGACACATATCATCATATCCGAAATGCTTAGATTGATGTTCATGATGTCAATCACTGGATTGTTTGGTCCAGTCTGATTATTTACTGACTGCTGTCACATTGCTTGAAATTGCTGAGCACAGCTTTAAACAAACAAACATGACTAGGGTTGTGTTGAAAGTTTTACCTGAGAAGGGTCATGATGAAAGTTTTACCTGAGAAGGGTCATGATGAAAGTTTTACCTGAGTAGGGTCATGATGAAAGTTTTACCTGAGAAGGGTCATGATGAAAGTTTTACCTGAGAAGGGTCATGATGAAAGTTTTACCTGAGTAGGGTCATGATGAAAGTTTTACCTGAGAAGGGTCATGATGAAAGTTTTACCTGAGAAGGGTCATGATGAACCTGAAGGTCTTGATGAAAGGGTCATGATGAAAGTTTTACCTGAGAAGGGTCATGATGAAAGTTTTACCTGAGAAGGGTCATGATGAAAGTTTTACCTGAGAAGGGTCATGATGAAAGTTTTACCTGAGAAGGGTCATGATGAAAGTTTTACCTAAACCTGAGAAGGGTCATGATGAAAGTTTTACCTGAGAAGGGTCATGATGAAAGTTTTACCTAAGTTTTACCTGAGTAGGGTCATGATGAAAGTTTTACCTGAGAAGGGTCATGATGAAAGTTTTACCAAAGTTTTACCTGAGTAGGGTCATGATGAAAGTTTTACCTGAGAAGGGTCATGATGAAAGTTTTACCTGAGAAGGGTCATGATGAAAGTTTTACCTGAGAAGGGTCATGATGAAAGTTTACCTGAGAAGGGTCATGATGAAAGTTTTACCTGAGAAGGGTCATGATGAAAGTTTTACCCTAGGGTCATGATGAGTTTTACCTGAAGGGTCATGATGAAAGTTTTACCTGAGAAGGGTCATGATGAAAGTTTTACCTGAGAAGGGTCATGATGAAAGTTTTACCTGAGAAGGGTCATGATGAAAGTTTTACCTGAGAAGGGTCATGATGAAAGTTTTACCTAAGTTTTACCTGAGAAGGGTCATGATGAAAGTTTTACCTGAGAAGGGTCATGATGAAAGTTTTACCTGAGAAAGTACCATGATGAAAGTTTTACCTGAGAAGGGTCATGATGAAAGTTTTACCTGAGTAGGGTCATGATGAAAGTTTTACCTGAGAAGGGTCATGATGAAAGTTTTACCTGAGAAGGGTCATGATGAAAGTTTTACCTGAGAAGGGTCATGATGAAAGTTTTACCTGAGTAGGGTCATGATGAAAGTTTTACCTGAGTAGGGTTGTTGGAGATTGGGCTACAATGTTGCTTGATATACTGAAGGTTTCTGCTGTCAACATGGCCCGTTGAGCAAGATGAATAGGTCTGGAATATAAACATGTAAGTAATCATACACATATATGGAACATTCTGTTATTCCTCAGACCAATATGCAATATTTTCTTGCTTCACTGATGACCTTACCTTTTCATTTCACGAAATATAGTTGGTCTGGCTTATATAGCTTGCTCAGTTGTATCAGGGATATACTGAGTCTCACTAGATTAACACAACTTGATCAAAGCTTGAAACTATGCTGCTTGATGGTGAGTTTGAACTTTTATCCACAAGTGTTGATAAGTTCTGTTATTAAAATATATGAGAGTGAGATTCTATTTATCATTCAAAATCATTCTTCAAACTTTTCAAAGTTTGCAAACAGTAACAAGTTTCTTGGAGTGAAAAAGGTAGAACTGATCAGCTTTAGCATTTGGAATGGCAGAGTTATTTACTGAGTGATATCGGTTGATCCGAAGGTGTTTTCTACTGTGGCAGCCAGTTTTGGCTGATATATATATGATGCAAACAGCAAGCATAAACAGTGTTCAACATGTGAAAGGAGAACATCAGTGCTTTGGTCACAACAGAAGCTGATGTGTGAGTGAGTGAGTTTAGTTCTACGCTGTTGTTAGCAATATTCCAGCAATATTAAGGCAGGGGACACCAGAAATGGGCTTCACACATTGTACCCATGTGGGGACTCGAACCCGGGTCTTCGGCCTGACGAGAGAACGCTTTAACCACTAGGCTACCCCACGGCCCCAAGCTGGTGTGAGAGTGTGTGTGGTGGGGCAAGCAGTGGGGGTTGCAGTTGCAAGAAAGGTTTCAATGCAGCCATACATTGTGAGAGACGGATTACAGTGTCAGCTTGAGAACTATCATATAGGATTACACCAAATAATGAGTCACTGGATGTCAAATTGTAATGGTTTGATTGATCAAAGTGTTTGAAATCAAAAATTGCCACAGTTGAAATTTAGTATCTTTGGCAGAATTTCAGCAATGCTGTGATTATTCAATATCAAAATGCAAGGCACTGATCTGGAAAGCGAGGGGAAAGCTATAAGTTAAAACCATTACTCAGCAACCAAGTCATCTTTGTCTTGGAACGGTCTGAATGTACACACAAACATAATATTACCATCACTGATACAAAGACTACAGCAGAACAACTAAGTCCATAAAAATAATCTGGTCAAAACAATTTTCATTTAAGTTGGACTGACTGACTGACTGAGTTTGGTTTTACGCCGCTTTTAGCAATATTCCAGCAACATCACGGCGGGGGACACCAGAAATGGGCTTCACACATTGTACCCATGTGGGGATTCGAACCCGGGTCTTCGGCGTGACGAGCCAATGCTTTAACCACTAGGCTACCCCACCACCCCTCATTTAAGTTGGAAGCACTCAAGCTTCAGTGAGTTTGTTAGTATGCTTTTATGGTTATTGGTAGCTTTCAGCAATATGAAGGCTGTAGACACCAAGGAAATGCTTCATGCATTGTAGGTAGGTGTGGAGCTGTACCACTGACTGGGGTTCCAAGCTATTACCTTAAACCCAAAGCGACCCTACCACTCAATGAGTGAATGAGTTTAGTTTTATGCCCGGTAATAGCAATATTACAAATTTTAGCAATATAAAAGTAATATCACGGTGGGGGACACCAGAAATGGGCTTCACACATTGTACCCATGTGGGGAATCGAACCCGGGTCTTCCGTGTGACGAGCGGACGCTTTAACCACTAGGCTACCCCACCATCCTACGTTTTATGGTTTTACGCCGCTTTTAGCAATATTCCAGCAATATCACGGCGGGGGACAACAGAAATGGGCCTCAAACATTGTACCGATGTGAGGAATCAAACCCAGGTCTTTGGGTTGACAAGTGAAGGCTTTAACCACTAGACTACCCCACCGTCCTTCCACTCAATGAGGCATAAAGGAGCAAATAAAAGTAAATAACCAAGCATCAAATAAAAATAAAACCCTAGGCACCAAAGCATAAAATTCCTTACAACATTAAACACAAGCCAAATCATGACAGAGGACACCAAGTGTGTTATTACTTGAAGACACATCGACTGCCAACTTGCAGTTTACAGACATGCAGGAACCAGAGAATCAATGTGTCAGCACAAGTATGGACAACACTGACCACACACAAACTGTGATTGGCAACAGTACAATATGAAGGTAGGAGTGGTACCAACCTGTAGTCTACAGCACAACTCCAGAGATGAATATGAAGCTCTGTGATCACCTTGGGCTCCACGTAGCCGAGGATAGGGTAGTCCTTCACATCCAGGAAGTCCAGACACTGTCAACACAGAGGGCAGTTACAGCACTACAGGGAAACACAGACAAATCAATGTATTATTATTATGATTGTCATTGGACATTTATATAGCGCACATATCCACGCACTAGTGCATGCTCAAAGCGCTGGGAGTATACAAGTTGTGTTGTGAATAAAGTGATCTTACAGAGAATTATTGTCATTTCGTTGTAACATGTAGCCAATGAGGTGAGAGAGAAGTTTTTTATCCAAAACACCCAAAGAACTGGCTTCACACGTTATACCCATAACATACCTGGGACTGCAAGTGTTAACATACCTGGGAAATCCAGCTCTCACCACTGGCAACCATTTTGTGTCGTAGAGTTCCCCCTCTTATATTTACTGACACAATGAAGTCCTTGAACAAACAAAGCAGAAATTTTTAAAATCAAAATGTTGAATTACAGTTCCACATCATTCATGCTCAAACCTGGGTTGACTTAAAAAACTTGACTTGTTCCTGAAACTACTGAGAAGTACATAGTCATCTTGTTACACAAACATGCTGAATCTCAGGGGAAAATATTAAATGTTCAGCACATCCTTTCAAATTATTTGTTTTGTCTATTGTGAAGCAGTGGTCAGGGAAATATTCAGTCACTAAAAACTCAAACTCTTAACCCCAGAATATTTAAATGATCTACCTTTCCTGAATAGAATCGCTGTCATTTGTTTTGGTTATTTTCACTTCCATTGTAGCCACTACATATTTGGGATCATAACAGACATAAATGTAGAAACAACAGGCTGAGTATGAGATGTCTGGGACTAGTTTCTCACCTTGGTATTGTTGAGTGTATCTAGTTTGATTTTAATGGCTAAGCTGATCATGTCCGGGCTGTCTGAGCCCCGCCCCACACAGCTGGCGGACTTGGAGGCCACACCCATTTCTGACTTGTATATTCGGGGCTCCAGGTGGGCTGGGAGGGAGTCTTGTTTTAGGGGCTCTAGGTTGCCAGGAACCACCGGGTTACTAAGGTAACCTGAAAGCAAAATATCAAGTTCTCAAACGTAGTGAAAACAGTTTTTTGTATTCAAAAGATCCTGAAGAACTTTAAAATCCCATTGAATTCATTTGTACATGCATTTAGTTACAGCCAATTTGTATTTGATAACATTACCTAAGCCTTAAAGATCCAGGTTAAAATCTTCAGCAACCCATGCTTGAAGTAACAGGCAATGGGATCGTATGGTCATACTTGCTGACTTGGAGGAATTCACTGTATCCCAATTATACAGATTGATGCTCATGATATCACTCATTGGACTGTCTGGTCAAGAGTCAATTTTGTATATAACCCTGTCATTTAGTTGGATATTTTCTGAGTGCAGCTTCAAACAAAGACTTAAACCTTTGTATTTATCTGGGCATGTGTGTCTTCTTGGTGTAATGTGAGGACCAACAACTAATCCTACCATTGTTACTCATGGCTGCCTTGTTGGACTGGAAACAGAGGTATCTAAGGTCAGGGTCACCGTTGTAGCTGATGACGGAGAAGAGGACAGCTTCATCCACCTCCAGACACACCTCTCCATGTTTCCCTTCCTCCTGGACGGTGGAAAAATCAATATTTAACACAAAAACATCAATATTTAACATCAAATGGAACAGGGTGTTTTCAAATGGGAACAATATTTCTGTACGCTAATTGTGCTATGAGCAAAAAATTTGTGAAGCTTAGTTTTGGCCAATTTACCTTATGCGGTGTGACCATAAGAAGTTTTCCTTTGGTGATGTTGAGAGAGAAGCAGAACTTGCTAGGAAGCTGCTGTTTGGGAGTGCGGTGGCTGCGAGAACGGCCTTCATGGATGGAGTACTGGTAGTCCTCCGAGTCTGAGTCGGAACCAGAGTCTGAGTCAGGAACCAGAGTCTGGAACAGTGAGGAAGTGATCCGAGCTGCCAGGAGAGCTGACTTTGATGTGTACGGATAGGGTTTACATACTGGAGAGCTGACTTTGAGATGTACTGATGGTGCTTGCTGTACTGAAGAGATGATTATGACATGCCACCAGTACTGATGGTGCTTACTGTATTGATGGTGCTTACCATACTGGAGAGCTGACTTTGAGATGTACTGATGGTGCTTGCTGTACTGAAGAGATGATTATGACATGCCACCAGTACTGATGGTGCTTACTGTATTGATGGTGCTGAGATTACCTTACTGGCTGGAGCTGACTTGAGATGTACAGATGGGCCATCTGGAACTTCTCCTGGTCCCCGGCCTGCTGCAGGAGGTGAAGGATGTCCAGGTTGGCAGGGTGAGCCAGGTTCATGGACTCCTGTGTTCTCAGCGGAGATGGAGCGCTTGGTTCCCACAGTGTCAGGTCATTATTTACCCTGAAGTCAAAATCATGCAGACACTATTGGTGATGCTCTAAAACAAGGTTTCATCCTCAGTGTGTCAGAATCACATCCGTGCTCAACGGGTATCACTTAAGTACACCACCTAGATCACCTTTCCACTCATAGTGAGAGACAATGCCTTGATAAAAACAAACATAATTCACACTCTGAAATCTTTTTTGTGAGGTGAAGAAATTGATAAGGATGGGTGTTACAATCATCTTGGTCATTCTTAGCAAATAATCAACTGGCGCCTAGAGGACGGAGAGAATCATTTCTGGTCTTTTCCTAGTACAGAGGGTTGGCCTGATGATTAAGGTGTCAGCTTGGTATGACCAACACAAGTGTTTGATTCCACTGACCTGTTGTAGAGCACCTCAAACATACTCCTGCTGGGGAGGCAGGCAGTGACGATCGGCAGCGTGATGTCCACCAGCAGCTTTGTGTTGTTCATGCAGAAGTCCTGGAACCCTCGCATCTCCTCCTTGTCTCCAGGCAGAACCATCTGGGTAATCACATTCATAGCTTACTAACATAAACATCACTCTACGTAAATCGAAGACATTTCAACCAAAATGTTTGTCCTCATAAAATAACATAGCTAACATGTAAATTTCATACTTAACATGTTCTCTACTGGATTTTTTCCTCAGTAAGAACATTAGTGAACTTTCCTCGTGTGTGTGTTCTTTACCAAGTCTGAGGCTGTTTGGTTCATGTATAGACCGATCAACACCCACTCCATGTTTTTGGAATTCCCAACAAGAATTACATATTCCAGGTTAAACATGGACTGAACCAGTATGTACCTAATGGACTGAACCAGTATATGTTTGCAGGACTGAATAAGTAAATGCCTGATGGGTTCAATGATGATAACCTTGGTGGACTGAACCAATAAATGCCTGAAGAATTGAACCAGTACATGTCTGATGAACTGACCAAGAGTAGTTATGATGGACTGAACCAGAATGTGACTGGTGGATTGAACCAGTACACATGCCTGATGGACTGAACCAATATACATCACAGGTAATAAACCAAGATATGTCTAATGGACTGGACGAGTATTCAAGCCTGATGCCTGCCAAATTAGGCCTAGATACATTGGATGAGCAGAACCAACTGGACTAAACACTCACCTCCTCACTGGTGTGCTTGCTCTCGGCCTTGTCACCCAGACTGCTGAGATCCTCCTGCTCATACATAGACTTGCGAGCCGAGAAGGGTGATGGTTCAGACCGGTCAAACTGACAAGCTCCATTCAAAGAATCCATCGGCAAGGAGTCATCAGTGTCTCCCTGGTCTCCCTGGTCGTCCTCCAACACAGATGGCTCTTTCTGGCTGGTCACAATCACAAGTCTGCCCAGGTATAGAAATAACTTTTAAATTGGGAACAATATCAAAAAGTACTATAGAGAGGTTTCATTACAAAATCCCTGAATAAACACAGTGTCCATATATTATTTTCTGACATATTCAGAGAAAGACAATTTCATAAACAAACAACATGTACAACTCAGACACCCTGCTCTCATGTCTCACCTTGGCCAGTTGAAGCCTTTCTCTGATGAATCACAGCCATCATCAGAGGAAACCGACACCAGTAACACAGGTGCATCATTGGGATCCTCTTGGAAGTAGCCTAAGAAACAAAGTCAAAATGCAACTGTCGATTCTGTGACTAGTTTGTATAAAATATACTTATGTCTGAAAAAAACAGAAAGGTTCATAAAGTATCTATGGATATTGTGACAATAATATTTATTTTGAAAGTTGTTTCGACCTGCTATATCACTGCACATGAACTCCATCTTCTGCTGTGGTCCTGAGTTGCCCACATCTGTCTGGAAAGTGAAGTCCTTCATCTCCAGGATCAGGACTTCTTTGTGGAGGTTCCTCTGCCACCAGGGCTGTCTGATCACCTGGGGACCGGTCCTCAAGTCAATGATAGGGAACCTGAAAAATGGCAATAAACATTAAATGGTCATGAGAAATATACTTTTACTGGCAGTATGCTGGCATTACAGCAAGGTTCAGACAATGACTTGTCCTGGACCTGGTATATTTTGTAAGGACTTGTATATTTCTCCAAAAATGTAGCACCCTGGTTAATGTTCAAGTCCAAATATAATTATGGGCTAGATGGACTTAATTTTAGGTTAACTGCTATCAAACTGGTGGAAAAGCTGAAGAATATTTGACAGCAATTCTAAAACTTAGGAAAGGAGTGTCTGGCAATATTCTCACTATTAGAAAATGCATTTACACATACATATATAAGTTAGAACATGTAGACATTTTGTGGCTTTTTGACTGAATAAATCTCTATCTCACTATTAGGAAGATAGTCTTTGATCCAGCATAAAGTTATTTATTAAATTTGTCTCCAGAAGTTTGTTTTAAAAGCCATTTGACAACCATACATTTACAGGGGTGTTCCAGAAAGTAAACATACATAAAGAAACAATATGGAGATATATGGTTGTGCTGTCTGACCTGACTCTGAACGTGGACCCACTACTGGAGACGTGCAGATCCATCTGCTTCTGTTCCATCATCGGCCCCTCCTCCATTGCGGAGCTGAAACACTGCCGCCCCAACTGCAAGCAAAACCATCCATGGATTACACTGGCACTTTACAAACAGGGACCATGAGTGCTGAGTATAGTCTGAGGCAATGCAAGAGTTATGCCCCTTTGGTGAGATTTGGAGTGGGGAATGAAATACGTGACAGTGAAAGTGAAGGAGAGGCTGAAATGTATCACAACAATACAGGGATGGCCATGAAAAAATGATTCTGGGGTTTTTTTCACATAAAAAACCCATAGACCCTATAATTTAGTAACTGGTAATCCATGATAGGAGTGTGTGGGTGGCTTGTCAGGAAAATACATACTTGATGGTGACACAAAAATGTTAAATAAACTTAGGGGTGGGAGCATCACCAATATATGAACTTCTCAGCTGAAGCCAATCACAACAACCAGGACCCAGATTTTCGAAGCTTTCTTAGCGCTAAGATAGTCGTAAGTGCCACACATTAACATTAACTTACGACTATCTTAGCGTTAAGAGAGCTTCGAAAATCTGGGCCCTGGTGTGTGTCCCACAAAGCGATCTTAGCCCTACGATGACTGTAAGCCTATGTTAAAGGATGAGTGTTGCGATCTCCTTCGAGCTGAGATCATTTTGTGAAATGTGGTCCTTGGTTGTCAGGAAGGACTGAGGATTTTGAGTGCCAGATATTGGAACTTTACTGACAATATATTTGTTAGTGAGGGTCTCATATCTATGACCTGCTTTCATTCTTTCAACATTAGGCAGTCACCCGACAATACAACTGAAACAGCAGGTAACTCACACATTTCATGAAAGGCTACACTGTGAAAACAGAATCATTTAATTATAACTAAGAATTATTTAATATATTAAACTGAGAACACACTGTTGTATCTGACAAAACTACATTGCAAACCACAGATAGACATTTATTTCTTTGTTAATATATCTGGAATGACCTCAATCTCCATATTACCCATTGACAAGAGAAATTGAGGATGATTTCAATAACAGTTAACTCGCAACTCATAACTGCATACATGGTGTTGTTAGTATAATGCCAGTTGACTATCTAGTTCAGTTCACAAAAATAATTGTATTCTATTAAAAAAATACATAACATTTGCAGAAATTCTGCATACTTCATTCAAAAAGATTCATACCTACAGTATATTTCAGCTTTGACTCCCTGACCATCATGACTATATAGAGTGATAGAGTGATAGAGTGAGTAGAGTGAGTGAGTGAGTGAGTGAGTGAGTGAGTGAGTGAGTGAGTGAGTGAGTGAGTGAGTGAGTGAGTGAGTGAGTGAGTGAGTGAGTGAGTGAGAGCAATATTCCAGCAATATTATGGCGGTAGACACCAGAAATGGGCTTTACACATTGTGCCCATGTGGGGAATCGAACCCATGTTTTCAACGTGTGAACGATGAGTGAACGCTTTAACCATTAGGCTACCCCACTGCCCTACTACTATAAAGGAATACCCACTAAACCACAGATGCCAAGTTCACCTTGTGATTTTCACATCTGTACGTACTTTGAGACAATAGAATATGTGAAGTGGAGCGTTTGATGGTAAGAGGGAGAGAGGGATGACGTAGATTAACTCTGGCTTATAGTTCTGTCAGTGAAGTATGTAAAGGGGTATGGTCTCACCACACTGGTTTGTTGTTGCTGCGACGTCTTGAACCTCACCCCACCTCCATGCTCAGCAGGAGCAGTAGGTTCTGGAGACAACAGGGCACTGATGCGGTCCACAATCGTGATGTCAATCTCAGATGTAAACTGACCAAGTTCAAAGTTGATGTTTGTTTTAGGCAGCTTGCGTGACTTGGAACTGGACTGGAACATGAAACATGAGAGGATGAAGATGCTGATTTTTTCCAATATTGTTCAGATCATAGACATGTCATTTCTTGTTTCAATATGCCAAAATATCTACACTGTGTTTCCGCTTTCACAAAATATTGGGGTAGGCATGTCTTAAAAATAAAAAAAATACTTTGTTCCTAGCTCATTGAACTTGCTGTACAACTGAGTTCATATAGTGTGAAAGTTTAATGTGAAAATTAGAACAATATCTATCCAAAAATATACCTGTAAAAATAATAAGTTAGTTTATATATGCATAGATAAGAGCTTTAAAATATGAATATTCCCTACTGTTTTGCTAAATATTATACAATAAATAGTAGAGCAAAAGTTGACACTGAACTGTCATGAAAGATATCAGACAAAATGGTTATTAAAGTCCATGGCTTACTCTGCACTGAACACTATGACAATCCCATCAGATTTCACATGAAATTAGTTCATAATTAATGCAGAAAATCAAACTTCTAATAAGATACTCTAAATAGTATACTCTTGTCTTTTTTCAGCCATGTTCCATTGATACACTATGCTCTGTCAAGGTCACAGACTGGATGCCGTTATCATGTTCTGATCAGTGTTTAGAGATAATGTACCTTTGATGTTTGAGTTCGAACAGATTAGTACATCATACAGCCTAGTACTACAGCACAAGCCCCACTCATTCAGGAAACATTAGTCTTCTTAGGGGCATGGTACTTTATTTTGAAAACATAAACCCAAACAGAATTGCATGTTTAGCCAATCAACCTATTTAGACTGCCACAATTATCTTAAAATGTAACATCTAATTTTTAAGATGGGATGGCTAGTGAGATGCAATCATGATGAAATCTATTAAATTATTAGGAAATATTTCTACCGTAAATGATGATGATGTGTAATTAATCTGCTATATGACAAACATCTTTGCCAACTTTGGGGCCAAAAGGAAATTCTTTCATCATATGATACAACAGAATCATGTTAATATCCACCAAGCTAATGTCACACAAATACAGTAGTGTTGGGAATTGGTTAAAATCTCATAATTGATGATTGGTTTATTACAACCGATCAATCATCGAAAATAATTGGTTAGCGTCATTTATGAAATTTTCCTGGTTATTTTTGTTTGCACAAAAACATAAAGAAAAAAACATGTAGTTCTTTGGGGTTTTCTGTTGCAAATTGCACATCTTTAAAGGATGACTAGTATGTTAGGAACATACATTTCTTGGGGCCTTTAAGATAAATTCAATCATGGCTTGGAACGAGCTTGTACTGCTCATGAAATGTAACAGACGAAACCAACCTTGTGAAAAATATTGTTAATGCAAAAAGTGTTCCAGAATTGTTTGTGTTCGATTATGAGAAAACATGATCGATTGCTTGGTCGTTTAGTCACTGCGACCAATCTTCGATTATTTCAATTAATCGGACCACCACTAAAATACAGGTAAGGATCCGTTTTTATCATAAATTTCAATGTACAATATATCCACCCAGAAATATTTGACATATCTGTCACTTTGTGACAATACAATTCACTGTCCAGAAGATCAATGAACATCGACTTAGGATAATTACAATGAATCTTCTCGTCCACGTTTCCCGAGATAACAAAGGCGATCTATGTTCCCATCTAACCCCCAGTGTCAATACGCATTGACAGGTAGGCTGAAATCAGGTGATAATGAAGACCCTGATAACAATAATACCCTGCCCAGGGCCACTGCACCGTACCCAGGTAATCCTACAGGTTGTACTGACTGTGTAAGTAGAGGCAGCCAGCCGTGACTATCTCCCTCTCTTCATATGGCCTCAGGCCTGCACCCCTACTGTAGAGCCAATATGCTTGCATGACACCCACAATAAACTAATTACAGCAACAATGTTGCCCTGAGCTGACAGTTGACTGCTAAATGACTTTCACAGTGTGTGCAGCGAGAAAATAATCTTTAAGGAAACACAGATCAGCGTGAGTTTGAAATAAAGAAACGTGATCTGTCTGTTCAACACAAGCTTTAATGGTAAGATGTCATTGAATCATTAAACACACAAACACTCCCAGTTTTGATGACTATAAATAACATGAAATATCTCTTTCATAGTTTAAATCCACTAGGTTCACAAAAGATATATTTTTCATTGATAAGTTCCAGTTATGTAACTGACATAAGGAGCATATGAGAACTGTTGGTAAACAAACGCATGTCAGGTTTTTTATTTTTTGCACCAGTTGTCTGACCTTAATCCTGTCAGCGGTGACGATGTTGAGCTTGACAGCTGGTGCGCCGCCGTGCATGCTGCTGTACATATTGCTGGGGAAGGCTTCAGGTCCATCTTTGTTGTCAAACACCAACAGCTGAAAAAACAAAACAAAACAAGGCTAACACCAGCATCACAACCACACTACAACAAGACTACAACCCATCAATGGGGCATGAATCTACAAAGATGCTGGATAATCTCGGACAGGTACTATAGTATCTTGGGTATGCTCTCAGTAAAACCCTTGGGTGTGTGTGCTAATTTGTCACTTCATCAAATGTGGCTCAACATCAACAAAAACTGCAGTGAAATATAAATTAGTTACAGGTCACTCTGACATAGCTAGCATATAGACAACTTCATCCTTACAGACACAGCACTACCTGTTGCCCAGATGCAGCATGCCAAGTCAGCTACTTGTGTTTCTTCACCATCATTTCTTGTCTAAAGCAACTTTGTGTACATAATAAATTGTTTTTAACCTTTATCATGCGTAAACTGTTTGATATAATAAATCAGATATTGATGATTTTCCATGTTGGTTTCAAGATTACAAAAACTAGAATCATACACACTTAAGATCCATCTGTCTAGTGAATGACACAGTTAAGGAAAAGTTTGTAAAGCAAAAGAACTGCTGAAAATTTAGAACTGTCAATCCAAGTATAGGAATTTACAATTACACTAAATGAAGGGCAATTGTTAAGATGAAGTGGGTGGCTAATACAACCTAGGAAAACTCCTTAAGTCATAATACAACAATGAGGGGGCTGAATCCTGTCAATAACAGTTTCAACACATGCAACTGCTTGGGATTTTTCTCAAGTTACATCATGACTTGGACACACAAAAGGTGAAGACTGATTCTACACTAGTGATGCCAAATCCCACTACACACAGTCACACTCAGCTTCTCAGTGGAGTTGAGAAGTCAGCGAGCCCACAAAACACATTCTACTCCCTGTGTGTTTGGTGAACAAAGCTGTAAATATTGAAACATGGCCAGCACATATCTGACCATGAGCGTCCCTAGTACACAGTTCAGGAATTAATCATACTTTCCAGACCAACAAATGCTCCCCTCGTCACTGCTGAACAAATGACCTCAGATGCTAACTGATTTGTTTAGAGCAGACAGTCAATATGCTGCTCAACCACTAGCAGTTTCTTCTTGGTTTTCAGATTTGTATTTACGGAATTAGGAAGTGACAAAAACATTTGAGCATACATGTTTCCAATGTTTTTTAGTTGGTGTTCTGTTCGTTCGGAAGTGTATCCCTCCAAACCTTATATATAATTACTTGATGATCACCATCAACATTTACTATCAACACAAACTGTGAATGAATGAATGAATGAATGAATGAATGAATGAATGAATGAATGAATGAATGAATGAATGAATGAATGAATGAATGAATGAATGAATGAATGAATGAATGAATGAAAATAAACAAACAAACAAAAACAAACAAACAAATAAATAAATAAACAAACAAACAAAACAAATAAACAAATAAATAAATAAATAAATAAATAAATAAATAAATAAATAAATAAATAAATAAATAAATAAATAAATAAATAAATAAATAAATAAATAAATAAATAAATAAATAAATAAATAAATAAATAAATAAATAAATAAATAAATAAATAAATAAATAAATAAATAAATAAATAAATAAATAAATAAATAAATAAATAAATAAATAAATAAATAAGTTTGCAGAGTGAAACCTGATATATCAGCAGGAATAGTCAGCAATGGACATTAGCCTCAGTTAATGTCGATTGTCCCAATTGCTTTATGCTCCTCAAGAATTTCTTTACCTGTGCATGTGACTCTATTCAGAGACCTACAATTGTCCCGCTGCGACAAAGTGTGACGAAAGCAGAGAGCTGTATTCTGACTGGCTGAGCCTCGTGTGTTTGTTGCACAGGTATGTGGGCGAGTGAGTCATAGCAAGGGTGACCCTGCTTACAGGTATGGGCTGGATAAACAGGTAGACGCTCAGTTGGAAGTTGGACGTGGGACAGTTGGAGTTTAACATTGTGACAACTGTACGTAATGTTGGAACCAGACCAGTTGGACAGGCTATTACCTGAGGAGACACCTACTACTGTGTGTTGAAGCTGAGCCCAACAAGTGTACATCTTACAGCCAGGTGTGTATCTAGGTCATGTGAATAGTGGTATGTGAGACTCCTACCTTGACACTACGATGTTAGGGAACGTTTCTCAAAATAACAAGGCAAGGCTGTGTAATCTGTATAGATATGAAATGCTGGTTAACACTTATACACAAAAGGCTTTGACAGGGCAAAGTGTCAGCAGGTATTTACAATAATCCCACATCAACAACGACACAGCAATATCAGTGTTCCTCACAACCCTGCTGCACAGGGAGCAGAACAATGGACAATAAGTATAGCCAATTCAGGTGAGGTAGCTAGACAAAGGTGTTAGGTAATTACATTGACACACTAATTAGCCCGTGTCCAGTGTTGACCTAATTAGGGCCAGGTTGTTGATACCAATGTGAGTGATTACATCAGAATGGTATGCAAGCCTCCCATTGAACACAGCAGTGTGTAGTGGGGAGTGACCAGTTGCTGGTGAGACAGACTTTGATCAACTCTTGTGTTTCTTTATGCTGTGACAAATGTTGAACATGTAAAGGAGGAGTGCTACCTGTTTGATTCCTGCTGACTGATTCCATCAAGGTGATAGATGATATGAATTATGTTCTATATTTTGGGCATGTTTGTTTTTTTCTTGACACAGCTATTAGTGTAGGGACATGAGGTTTGTGAAAGATTTCTGCCCGTAACCCCAGATTTTTATTATTCTATGCCTAAGAATAGATGTTTTTTATAGAAAGCCTACCCTAACCCTAAACCTAACATAATGCTAAACCTAAACCCTAAACGTAAACCCTAACCCCTAGAAATAATCATAATAAATAGAATACATTTCAAGCGGGGGATACGGGTGGAACTCTTACCGAAATATGAACAGTTTGAATATTCTCTGTGAAAATACATACCGGTAACCATGACAATACTTTCACTGTTTCAAAGCATGTTTTCCTATGATGACAAAGATGTAATAGAAACCTTTCTCAGCAAATGAATAGGTAAGACTTCCACCCATAATCCCAGCTTAAAATGTCAAAATGTAAATGGGTTTTGTAGTGAAAATAAAAATTAAAGAATAGATCTGAGTAATATCGACAATAAAGAGACTAATGAAATATCTACATATAATTTTCAACAATATGAGGGTTTGGGTTAGGCATTGAATGATAAAAAAAATCTTGGTGTTATGGGCGGAAATCTTTCCAACTAATTCATGTTGTACCAAGTGAGACACAGACAATAGTCCAGAATCTTGTGGAATCGTACTTGTTTTCTCAAATATGTACTTTTTGTCTGAAATAACTTGACAAATTGGGGGTTGCTAAAAGTGTCCACCCCTTGATATTAATCCTGTAGAATTTATGACTCAGTATTACGCCAATAAATAATAATGATATGAGCATTTCCTAAATCATTTTTCACATTTTGTAACATTTTGATTAAATATTTATTATCCTTTTCAGATTAGTGACGAGGTTTCTCACAGCATCATGAAGCAATTCTACTTGACTGCTGTGGTTTTGTATATAACAGCAGGATTGTACAGTGTAGCATCTGTGCCAGCAGACTGTCCTCAACTGACAGCCATTATACCACAATGTAACTGTGAAAGCAGTCTGGACCAAGCCACTGACATAGTTATCAACTGTCGTCGCAAAGGCCTCACTACCTTTCCAACCATTAATGGATCTTACACTGGATTAATCTATGAATTCACACTGGCTTTTAACGACATTGAGACAGTACCGGATGATGCTTTTCAAGGACTCCGCATCAAGCGCCTGGATTTGACCAGCAACAAGCTGTCCAACATTTCGGATGTGGCTTTCCGCAATTTAGAAGCTGACCTCACAGTGCTGAAACTCAGTGGAGGTGTGAATGGCATGAGTGCACCATTCACCGCCATGGTCAACCTGGTCAACCTTCAAGAACTGACACTTGAAAATTTCCTGATTCAAAATGGAGACTTAGAAAATAGTAACTACTTCCAGCCCTTCTCTGCACTTCAGAAATTGACTCTCAAAAACTGGAACCTGAAGTCAGTTGCCTCTACAGCCTTCACAGGCCTGACAAGCTTAAAAGAGCTGTACATACAGCAACAACCAAATCTCACATCACTGCCTGTTGGAGCCATCGACATAATGCAAGATACAATAGAAAAATTGAGGTATCGGACACGAAAATTACAACATTATATGCTTACAGTTTCCAAAATATGAAGGTCCTAAAAACATTGGTGCTTACTTCAAATCGTATAGCACAGCTAGAGGAGGATTGTTTCAATGGCTTGGAAGACAAACTCCAATTTTTGGACATGAGTTTAAACACAATTCCATTGTCAGATTTGTCCAAATTGCAGGTCCTACGTTACCTACAAACACTTAAATTACAAAACTCTGGATTAACAACAATTCCAACAAGTGCAGCAGTTTTCAGCAACAAACCAAATCTACAGATTCTAGATCTCCGAGGCAACCACTTTACAGATATACCTAATGGAGTATTCACAAACCTGTCATCGCTGCTAGAACTGGACCTTTCTGAAAACCAGATTAGAACAATGGGGGACACTTCTTTCAGTGGATTGACAAGCTTGAAAAAACTTGACCTTGGCCGTCAGAGTCTAGTGGGCAGTTCCCTCACATTACCCCCTCTGACTCCTCTTTCCTCCTTGACCACCCTAAATCTGGTAAACACGCCCCTCTCCACCCAAAGTTGGAACAGAATTAGTCAGGCTACTTCTATGACAACACTCAACTTGAGACAAACTGGCCTCACTAGTATCCCTAACATGTCTTTCAGGACAATGACAAATCTCAGTTCCCTTGATCTTGGAAACAATCGAATCACGACCATTAATCAAGAAACATTTGTAGGTCCTAAATCCTACTTAACAAGCATTGATTTATCTTCAAATTTGATCAATTACTTTGATAGCTGCACTTTCCATGATTATGGCACTCAATTGAAGTTGAACCTGATAGGCAATCCTCTTCATTGTGACTGTCATCTGTACTGGCTTAGCAAGGCTGTCAGGGATGGACAAATTTCTTTAGAAATGTATCTCCCGAACACATGTATTTACCCATCTGTAAGGAATGGTTCTGATTTCTCAACACTCAACCCCATTGACTTGTGCTCCACGGCACCAACCCCAGCAGTGTGCAGTGACTACTACAGCCCTACAACCACGACCACATCGACCACTACCACGACCATTACCACAAAAATAAGCATTGGCATCACAGTCACCTTCAAGAGCGCCACTCTTAACAGCATCACTATCTCTTGGACATTGGACCGACCCGAACTCTTGAATCACATCACAATCAGCCACATAGAAGTACCTGGTGGCACCACCCACAGTTATTCAAGGGAGATCACCCCTGGTAATTCACAATATAGCATTGCTGGATTACAACAAAATACAGGATATGAAATTTGCGTTTTATTAAACAGAAAGGATGGCCAACCTCAACAAACATGTATCAGAGAAAAAACCCAAGCAACTGCAACACCGCCATCCTCTACTGACAACCCGACATCCAACTCAACGGAAATCGGACTTATCATTGGGTCCGTTATTGGAGGACTAGTGCTGATAGCCATCCTTGTTGCAATCATCTATCTTGTGTTTCTACGGAAAAAGTCTCCCAAGGAAAAATATCCTGTTCAGCCTCGACCCTTCACACGATCGGAACTTCCCCAGATGGGATATGATTCCAAAAGGTATGGCCGAAAGAAGAAGAAGGATACTACAGATGGCAACCAAAACCAGGTAACTGTGTCTACAGTAACTGATGGTAAAAATGGCCAGCCTAACCTAGGTCGTATTTCAGCTGGAAGTTATCAATACTTGGATGAAAAGCAACCAGTCAGCAATAAGCCAAACCCAGTTCCTCCCTATGTTAATGATGCAGCAGCAAAACATTCTTCCTCTCCGTACGAGAATGATGTGGACATGCGTCCACTACCACGGAAGCCACAAGACTCGACTGGTTACTATAACCCAGCCTTCCGGAACAGCACGTACCCAGACCAACAGCCTCATACATACACAGAGATCCACTTGTAGAGTTCCTACATGATATTAGCCAATGTGTGCCTCTACAAATCGCCCTTTCAATGTGCCTTGACAAACACGATCAGTGACCCGGCAGACTTACAAACATCAAGCTGGGTCCATTGTAAGGTTCTACAAGTGTGGTCTGCATTACTGGTGCAAAGACTGTGGACTGAAGAACAAGCTATCAATCTGTGTATGTGAAAGAGATACTTACAGGTATATAGCACCCAACAAACAAGTATTTGTGGAAAGATTTCCATATTATTTTCACGGAAACAAGATCTGTGTATCACTCAACAGTACTTAAGGCTCCGTAATATATCTGGGAGTCCTGACAATTCATGCTTGAATGTTTGTGTGTGGCCAAGATGATGTGTGACTTCCTCAAGCTCTTCACAGCAAAGAACACTCCAGCTGCAGGAAGTGCTTACTGGTGCTTAGTACAAGGTTTACTAACTGTGACTCATCTCAAGCACCTAATAGACTTGTGTCTGGTCTAACAGGGGATGAGCCTTTCTGATGGAACTATTAAAGAGACTGCAGGTATCAAACAACAGACCTGTCCCCCGTTTCACAAAGCATGTTTGGGACTACAATGTGTTGCAATTATATTAGCAATAACACCACTTTGAGGAACGGGGTTCTGATCTTCCAGCAGCTATGAACAATGTGAGTGCCGTCCATCAACAATTTTAGAAACAGAAATGACTTGTGATATTATATATCAGAGCATTTACACCTACCTTGGAGATTTCTACAAACAGGTGAAACTGTCCTGAACCTTCAAAAATCCCAAAACCTGCTGACTTGATATCCTACATACAAAATATATTTCCAGTGTTGTGAAATTATTTGTCATGGCTATAACCTAAACACTACAGTGGATGTTTCTACATTTAGGATATGCATCTATGGCTATATTTTGTCACCAAATAATCAAACTGAATTAATACCAAAACTTGTTATCTCATTACCTCAGTTTAAATGTTTTTTAATGAATAAATTAACTCATTACATTTGAATGTTTAAATTATCATGATTATGTCCTAATTATGGAGTATTTTTTGTACAAGTTTATAAACTTTTGACTATATCCAGATACACAGGAATAATACGCTTAATCTGAAAATAAATGTGCAAGTGTTGGCTAATAATGTATTTATATCTGACAGAATGTATTGTGAATTGAGAACTACTTCCTGGTCCTATTACACCAGGTGCAATCATCTGCATGAATCCAAATGGCATGTTAATGAAATTTATGAATATTCATAGGTCAGTCCACCCTTGGAGGCAAATGGGGCTTTGTTCCATGAATATTGATAATTTCTCTTCACAGTCCTGAGATCCAAGCAGATGTCTGATTCTCAAATGACCATGTACAGCCTGAGATCTCAATCAAGTGCTAGTCGACCTCTCCGACATTATGTACATGCATACTGACTATTGGTGAACAATGGCCTCTGGCACATCCTATGTGTATGCATTGACCAGAGATAGCAGAATATAATATACATTCCAGTTGATTTTTGTTTTGATATACTTTGTATACCACTCTATACAGTTCTATTTTTATGTTTTAGCTTGTATATATTGTACAGATGTACATATCTGATATTATAAGGCTGTAAGGAGCTAAAGCAGCCAACCGTGGACAGAGGAACCTTGCTTGTCTCCATTATGACCGTCCAGGTTACCTAGGTAACTGACAAATCATAGTATTCTGTTAAAGGGGGACCAAACTGGCAGTCTGCTAGTTTCATTGTAGCCTTCAACCAAACCACTGAGTGATAGTTATTTTTTTTAGCATCTCAATCTTGTGGATAATGGTTACCAAATGTATTTTTGACAACCTGGTCTGAAAAAGGCCCAAGCCTTTTAATGGTATTAAAGCAATCATCTGGACCATAAGGTGTCCTGAGTGCCTGTCTTAAGCCTGTTTCCTCTGTCTATGAGTGGTAGAATATATATGCAAACAGATATTATGTACAGACTTTCTTAGTTATGAAACATATATTCTTATGGTAATAAATTCTTAAAACAAATTGACAATTGTTATTGTTTTAACTCCTTTTTGTTATGTTTTCTAAACTGAGAAACTGCTTTGTGTACCCTCGGTGTGACTCCTATTGATCAGGGCTATGAATAGAAACATCTGGACTACTGAACACGATTTCTGATTGTGGATCAACGTGACATGCCTTGAATTCACAGTTGTTAATTAGCAGCAGCAGTTCAACTGATTCAGATAACACCATGTCGTATCATCCTACTGTGCAGTTCAAAAGTTTGATGCTGGATAAAAAGCATAATTCTTAAATACTTCCCTGTCCTCAAACCTTGTTGAGAAAATGCAGAAAAACAAACACACAAATAATTTGTCACAGTATATACAGAAGGTTCTAAAACTGGCACATTTTTCCTCTTTTACCTTTCAATGGTGAAGCTGTCCAGTTTTCAGAGTAAATATATGATGACTTGTAATGCTTCTAACTGATTGCTGAATAGATTGCGGAACTTGCATACCTCTTAACCCACAAGACCAAAACTTACACAAAGATGATTTTTATCTGACATATAACTTTATAAAATCACTTTCCCATTAAAGTACATGTGTGAGAAGTCTTTAAGATGGAGTTTTCTACCCAGTGGATGGCACCAAAACTTAGTTCCAGTTGTGAAAGCAATTACAGTCATTATTACTATTACTGGTAGTGTAATATTGATGAGGGTAGTCAAACCTTGAGAAAACCCTGAATTAGTCAGGCCCATCCTCATGAAAGAAAATGTCATTCCAATTGAATTCCCATGCATCAAATACTCAATAACACACGGAAATTGACAAGTACATGATGTTCATTTCCTAAAAAGAATCTCTTACGACAAAACCTGTGTGGCAATATGTCACTGATTGTAAAGCTGAAAACATACATAATTCACACTATAGAATTTAGATATAATGTTTCAAGGGATGTGACATTTTGTCAAAGAAGGTATTTTTTAGAGAGTACATGTATTTACAAAGTGGCTTTGCTAGACAATGCCAGAGAGTATTAACACAACAGCTTAGCTAGACAATGCTACCTGATATGTTTGAATTATTGTTTGAATATACATGATGTTTGTACATATGGCAAAATACTAAAAATATACACAAATATTTCATTAATATTTGAAAATATAAAATAATAATATTATCTTTCTTGTGTTTAGTAATTGAACAGGGTAGCTTTTCTCTATTGTTACATTGTTTGCAGTGCAGAGCAGTAAGAATCCTGAATGTCTGTTGGATATATTTCATACAGCACTGACAAGTATATTACTGTATAGACAACACAATGCCATCTTATATAAGCACTCATGCCAGGATTTATGACTATCTGACACACCCAGCTGTAGAAGGATGGAGAGGAATTTCCTTGCTGTTTGTATCGCCAGCTTATCTATCACCCTATCAACCTGACCATATAAGGGAACCTTTATTCTGTTGCATATGCTTGGTAATATGTAAAACCCTAATTCGTCCCCAGGCAGCTAATTGTAAGCTTGAGGTTCAAATATGCTAAGCAACATTTGTGTGACAAGTTATGAAACTTGATACATCTTAAAGGCTCAGATTTTAAGCCTGATAACAGTGTAGGAAAGATAGCCCGTCCCAACGTCCGAGACGGGTGAATTTTGTGGAGGACGGGTTAAAAAAATATCTAGTCCGTCCTCATGTCGGGTCAATTTTAGCAAACCAATGACATATATATAATGATTATAACCTTTTTGAATATTTACTGCCGAAGGTGTTTTATTTATATTTGGAGGACAGGCTAGATTTTGGCAGGACTGGCAAAAAATTTGACCTGCCAGTCCTGTGGACAGGCTAGATATTCTACATCTTTCCTACACTGCTGATAACTACACAATATATCCCTAGTTAAAGGCACAAGAGGAATGAATGAACGTATGATTCATACACATGTTTGTACACATTTCAAGAATGTAAGGAATGCTCAATCTCAATAAAATAAAATGAATATCTATGTAAATCTCAGTGTTCCATATTAGAATTGTATTAGTTGTAAGCAGTGGTGGGGCTGTCTGTAGTGTTGATTACAAGGAAACGAAAACACAAGAAACACCACCAGTCCCTGAATACAGTCTCAACATGTCCCAGCTGGTTGCTGCCTCTGTTGACACTGGGCAAACACACGAGGTTCAAGCGATCGTGACAAGCTCATATCAAACATCTGACCCAGGTCACTCTGTTTGCATAGTTGATACTTAGATCATATGTAAATTTTCCAAATACCTAACACAACTGTAGACTCATGAAGAGATGAATGAACACAGGGTGAGAAAGCTGATTCCCAGAGGGACAGCTTCTTAATTGTAACATAGACAAATGATGTTAGTCAAAACATATGACAAGTTGGTTTAAATCAAAGTTGTGTGCAGTAGTACACATGTTAGGATACATCTTCACACACATGCTTAACATCATCATCATCACCATCATCATCACCATCATCATCATCATCATCATCATCATCCAAGTTTTGTTGAAAACAACTAAAAAAAAGCATTGTGTCTGAGCTGTTTTATAACCTCATGAATATAACTATCATCATCATCATCATCATTGTTTTGCTGAAACCACAACTGAAAATTGGCATTGTTTCCTAACCTAATGATTATCACCTCATGAATATGACCACCATCATCGTTGTCATCACAGTGTTGTCACAAAGCAAGACAGAAGAAAAATTATTTTTGTTAAAAGTGAAAATGTTAGGTTGTTTGATTCAAACATTACAGGGGACACCAGGACAGACATTCAACTATAACTCTGTCATCATATGTCGCAGTTGAACAACTCCCAAAGAATCAGCACACATTGGTCCGGCATAATGGTATGCTGGTATGTAACACAAGGGTTAACATGTGCCATCATGGCAATAACACCTGACATATCATATGCTTACAACCAACATGCCCAAAGATTCAATAAGTTCAAACTACCTTTGTCAGTATGTTCATGCTGAAACTACATTCAGGATAATTTGAACTACATTCAGGACGGTTTTAATTACATAAGAAATGTTCAACTGTTGACAAAGTGAAATGTCCATGGGAAGGAAACAACCATTGCAATAAAAAAAAGAAAGTTAAATAAATTGGTGAAAAATCTCAGTATGTGAAAAAAAGATTTTAAAAGTATGAAGAATGGAAAATCTTTCATATTATTTCTCATAGAATGGTTATCTGTACAATAAGCAGAATGGCTTGACAATACCATAGAAGTTTTATACATAATTCCATTTTCCTAAATTTGAACCAAACAATCAGAAACTCTCAAGAATGTGTGAAGGAATCTCATGTCAACCCTAAAGCACACCTGTACCACCTGTGTGTGAGTAATATTGTTGTGGGATTGACCCGCCGGAACTGAAGTGCTATAAATAGCTATGACCCCCTGCTACATCCAGCTGAATAATAAATAAACAGCTCTCAGTAACAAGGGACCCTAATGTGAGATAGTGTCAGCAAGCTGTGCTGGTATACAGCTACCAACTAGAGAGCTGACAGGGTAATAGTAGACCTGTGTAACAGGTTGACAATACATTCAATTACAGTCATGTCAATATTGGATTTACACATGGGTTTTCCCGGATTTCATCTGCGTATCTGAAGGGCCAGCTGAGTCACCCCAGGATTTAAAATGGCCCCGGAAAACAGTATACAGTTACTGTATTCAGTTGGGGCTTTGATGATAAACTAGGATGTAAGATAATCTGTATACAATATTTGTGATATTAAGTGCTCTGCTCCGATAAGCATCCCCAAGACCAAGCTTAAGTCATGATCATATTTGGACCATTTTGAGAATTATTACAGCCAGTATTTTCTTGTTCATAATGCACACTAGTAGCCCCCAGCCCTGAAACAGCTTTTAAAGGAGGGGCATACATTTTACATGTAGATATTAAGTTTTAAGTTACCCAAAGAAATCCATTTCTGTGAGGTTTCTGGGCATTGTATTGTAAGCCAACAATATTGTGAAACATAATTAGAGTTGGTAAACAATACTTCGGATTGAGTAACATTTTATGACTTTATGGGAAACATTTGGTCATATTAACACCTACATCAAACTTTATACTCCCCTTCTCAATCTCTGGTATTAAATCTAAATATGTTGTGTGGTTTAAATTTGTAATTTTATTTTCCTATTGCAAAGTCTGGATACAAGTTATTTACATGAACAGCACATTAAACTGTGACAGCTCATGGACATATGAAATTCACGTCATTCTCTGTTATGGGTGTACCTGCTTTTCAATTCAGCAATGGATTAGAATTTTTATTAGGAGAAATAGTCAGCATTGACATTCAATACTGTTTGCGGAAGAATCCATCCCTTCCATTGTGACTGCCATGCCCTGTTGATTACAGGTGACATCACACAGCCAGGTGACCCTCGCCTCACCTGTGTCAGGATGGGCCAGACGGAAGCAAGTGACAAGCAGCTAACACTTGTGTTGGTGTTACTCTTGATAACCCAACAATAACACTTTCAGGGCTCACTAAATAACACATCAAAAGGCCTGGCAGGCCCGTGTGCTAAATACACACTATGTCGGAAATCGCATGTTAATTCCCCAAATCATCGTTATCATCATCACTAAATAACACGTCATATGTCGATATTTAGGGTGATAGGTCATCTGATGCCACATCACTTATTACTAAACTCAAATCTGTCATGAAACTGTCATGGTAAAACAGGAATTATCATGTGCCAGTTCAGCATTAATTTGAAACCTCTGAATTATCCATTTGAAATTTTAATCTACACAAAGTCATTTAGAAAGTTTTTAAATATTATAAGGGTAATGCTATTTTTTAGGGCATTATCATTTGCAGAAGCCCGTGGTCTTCCATTAACTGCCCGACAAAAGGGGGCAGTTGAAAAAGACCGAGGGCTTCTGCAAATGATAATGCCCTCAAAAATAGCATTACCGTTATTATTGCTAAAATACATGGAATTTGTGTTGAAAAGAAAAAGGAAACAATGAAGGAATTTGACTGTAAGTTTACTCAAAACCAACTTCTGACGGGGTTGACTGCCCGAATGCAATCACGTCATCGAACAATTCAAGTGACTTCACAACAGAAAGTGACGATATTTGACCCTGGCCTTTGACAAGACCATAGCCTGCAACATGCCAAACCATGCCAGTGTTCGGTTTTGGTCCAACAACAACGTTAATAGTGCAATTGTTAAGGTTAGCACCAGCAAGAAAGCCAATATTACTGCTATTTAAAGCGGGAATTCAGGTTGCTTTGACTTGTTTGACCCAGAATATCTGCCAGTCCAAAGCCAATGTCGAATGAACCGACGCACCCACTATGACGTCACTTGACAACAGAACTGATAGTGGCCCGTCGTTAATGTTCAGCAAATGTCTGATAATAGGAGGGCCGTTTCATGATAATTCCATGTGTTTTAGCTATAAAACATGTTATATTTAGGATTACACTTTCTCAGTTAAGTACAGATTCTAGCACTTTGTTAGGTTGAGTCTAACTTCTTCATTTAATACCTCAGAATTCAACACAGAGTTACATCCTAATTCATTATCTCACTCACTGAAGCAACTTATATGTACACAAAGTATACACTGTACGGAGCTGACTATTGACACATGTGATAAGACTTTGTCGTGTACACAGATTATACAATAGTTGGTGAACACCACAAATAAAGTTTTAGAAGATACAGCTATGGTGTGGACACTTAATTCATGAATGAAATAATGAGACAACACTTGAGACTGGGTTGCCATGATATATCACAACTATATAGGGTGAGGAGTGTTACAAAATATGATACGGCCTCAAGACACAAACACACACACATACACTCACGCAATATTGACATACGAGTGCCTTACTGTAGTTTCGCTAGAATAGGTCCACATTCAAGAACGAGCACATCGCTGAAATATTCATATTTTGTATGTGGAACAATAGCAATATGTATAATTTCATACAATATACAATTACATAATAAAATATAGCTGGGAGCAGAGATGTGGGCTCCTTGGCTTTAATTCAATCTAGACACTTTTACCTGTCTTGTAGTGTCGAAAGTAATAATGACTACAATTAATAGGAATCATATCTCTGCCAGTAATTTGGAAATGTGTGAATTATTATTGTCCAGGGTTAGATACAAAGGATTGTGTAGTATGGTTTGGATTATGACACTTGTGGCTTTAGAAACAGATGCTGACTTTATTAGAACTTCATAGAAACAAGAAATATGCTTGTACATTCAACTGCAAATTATCTATTTGTTTTAACTGAATGGATGACATCACCACCAGTTTTGACAAATTTATACTCAGAAAAATAGAAAAGTTTGTAGCCTTAGTTCAAAAAGGTGCGAGTTGTTTTATCCGCATTCTAGAAGTTGGTGAGTCAAAACATGAAACATACAACTTGATGGATGGCAAATTTTTGTTTATTGTGTTGAGCGGCGTTTCGATGTAGATTCTTACACGGTTATCAAGCTAAAAGCTACTGCAACCAAATAATGTCAAGTGTTCAATGTGATTCAAATTATATGGATTAAAACGTAAGTCTATTTCAAACAACAAAACAACATTTCCAGTAATCTAATTTTAACAGCATATAGAAAAATGACCTAGCACCTTCTCTCATACTGCCGCAACTGATCGTTTGAATCCACAGCAAGTAAGGCATTTCTATCCTTAGTGTCAGTATACATTATACTGTTACGCTATCACACTATCGCAACTGAACTGCAGGAGACCTAGTTGATACCAAAAGTGGATTACCTCTTTCGGCATTGGAAAGCCAGCGAGTGGGGGTTGTTAGATTTTACCGGTGCTTTCATCAGCTATCTCAATTACCTCTAATCATGAACATTACCAAACAGTGATACTTTTAACATGCTCCATAGAACAGAAACTGATCAGCAAACTTTTCAGATACATACCGGAATTTTTTATTGTGCTCTGTAGAGAGCCGATGAAGATAGCAACGATGGTAACGAAAATAGAATTTCACTTGTCCCTCTGTAGTCTTTGGAGATACATTACTGTAATGGGTATATATAATCGGCATTAACAGCCAATATGCACAGGTAAATTTTCGTCGAAATCGGACGGTTGGTTTCATAGTTATGGGTGTTTGACGTGTATTTAAGGGCTAGAAACCATCAAAAACGGAGCCAGAAAACGTTTTTGACATGCTAGCGGACCTTCCAAATACAGCCAGGGTCGCCTTTCAAATAGTTCCGGAGAAGAAATAGTTCCCTCTTTAACAGGCCGTAGCTCCGTTGTTCGTTGGTCTACGGTCAAATCAATTAGTGTTCTGGAATTGCCAGGACTTCAGTTATCATATGTACAGATATAATGTACGGGTCCATGGAAATGCCTACCCGCCAAAAACGTCAAATTCCCTTGAATCCAATATAGCAGGCAAACAGTGCCTCTTAGCCCCATGGGTCTTTCAGTTGAAATTGAAGGTAATCCGATTCCAGAGCTGCCCCAATAATTTGGTAGTTATTGGACATGTAGTTTTGGAGATTATTGCTTTGGAAATTGGCATTTTATAATTCATTTTGAATTATCAGCCCTTTGTTATTGGGCCTTGAGTCCTCAGTTTTGGGCGCAATCAACTTCAGTGTTGTGGGCACCTTGGTGATTTTTTGGAAGCCATTCTGAGCACTGGTTTAGGATCTATGTTTGGTACAAAATATGGCGGAATAATAAATAATAATACTCCAAACGATTTCAATAGGACTCCTGCCTGGAGGTAAAGAGCCCTAATAAAACCAAAGATGAAATCTCAAGGGTTATTTGCATTCAGTTCACCATGTTGCCATGGTGATCACAGATCGGTCATTGTCCACAGCAGGTAAATGATCATGCTGAGTGAGTGAGTGTGAGTGAGTGAGTGAGTGAGTGAGTGAGTGAGTGAGTGAGTGAGTGAGTGAGTGAGTGAGTGAGTGAGTGAGTGAGTGAGTGAGTGAGTGAGTGAGTGAGTGAGTGAGTGAGTGAGTGAGTGAGTGAGCGAGCGAGAGAGAGAGAGTGTGGTTTTACACTGCTTTTAGCAAAATTCCAGCAATATCGCAGGGGACACCAAAAATGGGCTTCACACATTGTACTCATGTGGAGAATCGAACCCGGGTGTTCAGCATAATGAGCGGACACTTAACCATTAGGCTACCCCACCACCCCACTTCTTAGCTGGGTATAATGGTGAAATATCATACATCATGTAGGCATGTATTGACACTTCCAGTTGTCTACATGTGCCTGAGTTACACAGTAGCACGTGGAAGTGGCACTTGGTTTCCTAAAGCATATCAGTAACACAGCAAACTTGATGCCTTACCTGGCTGTACTCAGGCAGCTTGTTGTCAATGGGGAGGCTAAAGCCCATCATGGAAGCGGTGAAGTTGCGTCGGTCAAACAGACACTCAGTTGCCTCAAACATCCCGATGGTCACATCTAGACACAGACTCTGGACATGCTGGGACGTCTTCTGGGCACACTCCAGGGTCAGGGGCTTCCCTAGAATCCTGAAGTCACAAAATATCATTAATGATGTGGTAACTGGTGTACACAAATGGAATAAAACTATGGCGAAAAACAAAGGCTCACGTTAACTTATATATCAACTCAAATTATCTACATGTCTGAACCTGTAACATAATCATATCGATTCCTTGAAATTCAACCAAAACTACTAAATTGTGTTGATGACAAGTAAAAACACGACAGCACTCATTTATAAAATAAAGTCCAAATTTGGACTGCACTGTCCAGCAGCAAATGAAGCATGATTTCCCAGTTAGAGTTACCTGCCCCTTGTTTACATGAACACGGCAGGCTTGGTAGTTTGAGAAGTTTCAGGATCATACATTCCAGTGCTGACTGGACACCTATTTGAAAAACACTACATGCTGCCAACTTCTATCACTATTTTCAATTCAAGACCAGCTACAATCAAGACATTTAACAGAGACAATGGTTTGAATATTCTTAAGAGTACTTCTAGGGCTTGTTACTTCTTTTTCCCACTATTTTTATTCTCATGAGTATGTACATTCATACTATACAAAACTCATTCAGGTTTGTACATTTTGGTAGGTCACAGCATAATGCTATAAGTAGCAGTAACTGTTTACTCGTAGGTTCATTTACTTGGCTTTTCATTGTAGCAACATATCTTTAAAGGTAGCAATGAAGTAGGAACGTTCATACATTACTACACAGAGATCATACATAATACAGGCTTGTAGTGTTGGTAATTCATGACACATCAGTTAATGCTGTCAATATATACACACGCATACACACATACATACATACACATACATACATACATACATACATACATACATACATACATACATACATACATACATACATACATACATACATACATACATACATACATACATACATACATACATACATACACACACACACACACACACACACACACATACATACATACATACATACATACATACATACATACATACATACAGTACATACATACATACATACATACACTACATACATACATACATACATGCATACATACATACATACATACATACATACATACATACATACATACATACATACATGGTCTACATTTTTTCATACATACATACATGAGTAGGTACATTCAAATATTACTACACAAAGATGGGCTACATATTATATACATATATGTCTTTTTTTACTGCTGCCACTTATTCAAACCCACTGAACTGAACTTGTTTTGTATTGTAAATCTAAATATATGCGTTTTAACATAACTGATCGAGTGTTTAATGGATCTTGTGTGATCATATACTAATTACACACTTCAGCTCTGTGTGAATAGTTGTTTAGTTAACCTCTACATTTAATACATAAATCACATATAAGCATGCTGCCAACTCACCCAATATGATCATATGGCAGTGCTGTGGAGAACTTCTCTCTCAGATCCTTCAGTGTGGACGTCATGCCGCTGAAGGCAATCAACTTTGCCTTAGTGAAGTAGGTGTCTGAGATAGTCTTCAGTTTCTCCGAGGCCGGCACCTCGGGGGAGAAGTGGTCCCCTGGTGTGGAGGTGGGGTTCTCGTGCAGGAGGTTGATGGAGATGAAGCTCACCTTGAGCCTGTATCTGCTTAGTTCAGCTGACGGGTCGTCCAGCAGTTTCTGTATGTGATCTGTGGATGGAGTCAAGTTGACGATGAACAATGAATCACGTTATATGCTGCTTTCAGCAATATTCCAGCAACGTCAACATCGTGACACCAGCAATAGGCTTTACAAATCATGGGCATTGAGAGAGTGGAACCTGGGTCCTCAGTTTGTCAAACAAATAGATTACCCTGCCAACTGTGCCCACGTCCCCTCCCCACCCCATAAACAATCATGAGAATATGAATTTTGGATATTTGTTCCTTTCTTTAATGCTACTCGGTGAGGTGAGGTGAAATTGGGTTTTACGTCGTGCTTGAGAATATTTCGCTCATATGACGACGTGCATGTGTGTGTATGTGTATGTGCGGCTGCTTGTACTAGCCCAGACTGAAGCTGGTTTTATAGTGCTAGCCCACTGAGATACCATGCCGCAGTGAAACATGAATACCCCACTCAGACACATTATACTGACTCCGAGCCGACCAGTCCTTGTTGTGCCCATTAATGCCGAGAGCCAGGCAGGGACCAACAAGTACCATATTTTAACGTCTTTTGGTATGACGCGGTCGGGGATCGAACTCGCAACCTTCCGCTCTCCGGGCGGACGCTCTAACCACTGCACCACGGAGGCGGTCTTAATGCTACTCGGAGCAATATGGCCCAACATATATGGATGATTCTATCCCAGAAAATGCAATGATTGACATCTTGACTATTGATCAATACAAAAAGGTTATGATGACATACATCAACAAAGTCTGAAAGTTTGACCAACTGGTGCTATCAGTTCCCTCTTATGACAAGCATGGGTTGCTGCAGACAATTTCTAACCTGGATCTACACAGGCATCTTACAATCATAGGCATTAAGGGAATGGAACCTGGATGTGCAGCATGGCAAGCAAATACATAACCCACTGGGCTATCCTACCACAATGTTTATGAACAGACACCGGGATATTATTTTAGGACTTATCAACATAAACTTGGTTGTTTGTGATGGAGTTTAGTTTTACGCCACTTTTAGCAATATTCCAACAATATCATGGCAGGGGACACCAGAAATGGGCTTCACACATTGTACCCATGTGGGGAATTGAACCCAGGTCGTCGGCATGACGAGCGGGCTTAAAACATTAGGCTAAAGCCCTGTTCATGATGGATGTGACCACATCAACTAAATATCACAAAACAGGAGTCGTAACTAGTAAAAGGCTGAGAAGATTGATATCATAGTCATCCCATAGTACAACCCTCAGTGGCATCATATTGTAATGTAATCATTCGTTTCAGGACTAACAGAAATATGGCTGGTGTATCTGAAGAGTTGGTAATGAACAGATGTCTCCAAAGGACTGAAGAGTTATGTCCCCTGATTATCCCCCTTAAATGATATCTGCCTCTGAAGAGTTGGTAATGAACAGATGTCTCCAAAGGACTGAAGAGTTATGTCCCCTGATTATCCCCCTTAAATGATATCTGCCTCTGGTACCTTTAGGGGACTTTGGTGCTGATGAGGACGTTGGTCTTCGGTAATCTGTAGACTCACTTCTGGGGAATGCTGGAAAGTATTAGATAACAGTCAGATACAGAAATGATTCAAAAATTCAAATCAACTTGTGTCCCAAAATGTGACAACTTATGGTATTTCAATACAAACATTAATTCAAATGCCATAGCTTCATAAGAGGTTATACAGTGAAACCTGTCTAAACTGGCACCCCACGGGACTGAAATAAAATACCGGTTTAGACAGGGTGCTGGATTAGACAGTGAAGGTCATATTCCAACATGGCTGCCATTTACATTCAAAGTGACTGACGAGTCAACAAAACCAATGCCTATTTATTTACTCTCTGACACGTCACTCACTTGAAAACAGTTAATGCAATCCCCCATTGTTTGTAAAGCATAACCGCGGTAATCCTACGAGCGTTTGACTCACCGTCCTGATTATCTAGCGTGCAGAGAGGAGTGTATTGGATTAAGGGACCTTGATTGGACTGCTCATACCCATATGGGCTTGAGGGCGTTTGATTCACTGCGCAATCACTACTTCCTGATTATCTAGCGTGCCAAGAGGATTAATTAGTGTATTGGATTATGGGTCCTTGATTGGGCTGCTCATACCCATGCCGGTTAAGACAGTGTTGATTACAGTTAAAATTGCTTGTTCGGACCAGACAGTCGAGCCGGAATACAGAATAGACAGGTACCTGATTAGACAATGTTTTAATGATCATAATATCGTTGTAAATTGGCGGGACCAAATGTTGTCGGTTTTGACAGTGTGCCAGGTTAGACAGGTGCCGGTGTTGGCAGGTTTCACTGTATTCATAACACCAACTCGAAATCATCCTTTGTTTCTAACTTAATCACACAATACATTGGGATGTCTTTCTCCAACCATGACATTTGTGTTATTTTTGTCACAACAACAAAAAACAACAACATTGTTATCCTTGTTATAATGAGTGTGTATTATATCTGCCAGTAAACTTCTTTGAGTGGCATTTTAGAAGTTGGGAAGTACAATATAGAACAAACTTTATGGATAACAACTTCTTTTTATTCGTGAGTCGTGACGTTTTGATATAGATTCTTGTACCGCTGCTTACAACGGTACAAGAATCTGTATCGAAACGTCGCACTCACGAATAAAAAGAAGTTGTTATCCATAAAGTTTGTTCTATCTGCCAGTAACCTGAACATACATCTTGCTCATATAGAGCATAGGGTGGTATTGTACAAAACAAGAAGACATGGTCATCAATATCCCCCACCACAGTGTTCTGTTTCTATTTTGACAACTATTCATTCTTCCTACAAATAGCGATACATAAGCTGTTAAATGACTACTGCGAGGATTGCTGTTATGTCAGCAAAAGAGAAGATCACAGAGGGCCATAACAAATTGTAACATGGTTTCTGTTTTCAAACTCCATCAAGGCAATCATATCCTGAAAACACATACCAAATTTAGTTTCTATATCTATAACAGTTTCTGAGAAAATTTGTCCCCATTGGGGATACCGTGCACTAAGTCAAGAGATGCATGACTAAGGCCATAACCCTGTAACAAATTGTAATACGGTTTCCATTTTCGAACACTATCAAGGCATTCATGTCCTGAAAACACCCACTTTGTGGCGGGGGGAAATCTGTTCCATTTGGGGATAACATGTCAAGAAACGCCAAACTGCCTAACAGCCCTCCCCCAATTTCCTCGGAGTCGCTTTGGTCCTTCACATAACATGCAGGTAAGAATCGAGCATGGCATATTGGGTACTGACAAAAGGTAAAGTCTTACATGTTGCGGTGCTGGCCGTCTTGGTGGTGCTCCCACTGTAGTTGCTGGAGAAGGAGGACTCCATCTCAGACTGAGCCGAATCTCGTACCCCGCCGTGCATGGAGAAGTACAGGTCTTCATCTTTCAGCTCATCTGTATCAAGACTCAGGGTGAACTACAAGCTTCCAACCAGGTGCACATACATAATTCAAACCAACACTATTCCATTTAAACAGAGAAATTTGATCTTTGACAACTAAAAGGATGGTCCAGATGGAAAATTTTATTGGTTAAAAAAATGAGCATACTGCCATATTGACTTGAAGAAAGAAGTTAAGGTAGGTTTTTAATTGCATGAACAAGGGGTTAAAAACCGTACAATGAAATGACAATTGCCTTTTCTGGTTACAGATTCTCACCTATGGACTCCATCAAATTGTCTTCCTGCATGAACATCGGTGTCTGTGGCACCATATGGGCCATGTGATGTTCCATCCTGCCAGTCTGTAGATGGCGCTGTAGCTCATACTCCACTCGCTGGAAGTCAGCAGCCTTCATTGGCTTGTCTTTACTGGAGCGCTTCTTGCCACTGGAATCATCACTGTTAGCTGAAAGATACACAGGGACACCCACCAGAAGGTTAATAACACATACATAGTGACACTTTCAATGTTAATATGTATCTCTTCAGAGTAAACTTATTATTTTTACTGATGCTGCTGCTTAATGCTGATGTGACCAATAATTTGGACCCATTATGTAGTGGAGCCTTGCTTCCAGAACTAAGACATCTGGAAACTTCTGGAACATCCAACCGGATGACATTTATATATACAACATAAAATGCTTCATTTATCCAGATATCTGGTTTCCAGACTACCAACTGTGCAAATACCCACCACGATTTGACTGCATTGACTTTATCATTGCTAACCTATAACTGAGTGTTGGAATAAAATTTAGTGAATATTCACTGTGTGGTCATGTACTGCTTAAACAATTCATTCCATTGCAAACCTCTGCATTTCAATTTGGATATCACCTCACAACACTGCGAGGACACAGAGCCAAAGAAAGTGGGGCTATCATCGTCACTAACCTGGGGAGGCAAGCCCGCTGAATATCTCCAGAATCCCATGGAGCTGTCTGGGGGATAACAACAAGTGAAGGGCTCCAAGCTGACAGTCAAGTTCAAGCTGAAATAACAATCATTAATTCAGCTGGAATGTGATAATGTGAAAGATGACAACTTGAACAGAACTAAAGACACTGTGAATCAAGCGTGACAAGATGCAACAGAAGAGGAATTCCAAGAACATTTTCCCTGATCTGCAAAGTATTCAGAGCCTGATGACCATTTGTGATTCTACAGTTTGTCATAGGTTCAGGAATGAACACTTTGTGGATCTGCACCTTGTCCTCTAAGGCTCCACTGCTCCACTGGGACCCCATTAATCCTGATGATAGCACTCTGTGTGATTACAAATTACAATTACAAATGATAGGTACAAAGTAATCTTTTCAGCAGCAATATTCAGAATGGTGCAATTTCCTGCTAAACAAAATCCACACCAGCAAGGTTTTAGTGTACACACAGAACATCACAGATGTTACTCTATGAGTGATACCTTTGGTCCAGGTAGTGTGTCCACTTGTTTCAGCTTGGCCTTGAGTTCCTGTCTGCCGGAGAAGACTGCCACCTGAATGGGCTGAGATCCAGACACAAGGGATGCTCCAAGCGACTTGGGCTGTGTGGTGATGCTGTGGCTGATCAAATTCTCCGCTGTGCTCTTGTACATTGAACTCACTGTAGAGTCGTACAGCTAAAATATGAAATAACATTGACAATTACCATGCGAACAACTGAAAGTAATGAGATTTACCACATTTCAAATATTTGTAATTTTCTGTGTAACACATCCTCGATAATCTCCAGGGTATATGTTACGATAACTCTCCACTATACCCTGGATGCATCCACGGTTTGGGGGGCGATGAGTTTATTACCTCCCTTGGCTGGCTTTTTATCCAATCAGGTGCCTATGCAGAGAAGTTGAGCGTACCAATCACTACTCACTTTCGCTTCTTAAATTTTCTAACCGTTTAAATTTGGCAACACAATTGATGCAGAGGTACTCTGAAAGAAGTAGAAGCTCTTTCATATATTTTTTTAAAGTTTCAGATCTGTGAATTTGTCATTATTATTTCACCAAAAATCTGAGTGGCACTGCGAACAAACCTTCTTGACTGAGACCGCTATCTTTAACACTGGCAAGCTCTGTTGTTACGGCGGCTTAGCTGATTGGCTACTGTGAGAATGTGGAGCCAGCCAAGGGAGGTAATAAAATCATCGCCCCCAAGCCGTGGATGCATCCAGGGTATAGTGGAGAGTTATCCTAATCCTGGAGATTATCGAGGATGTGTGTAACAATGCAGTGCCAAACACGCTTTGAATATTTCACAACTGCAACTTTCCATTTTAGAAACTACAATTAATGTCAATCTAAGCAATTGGAATATGATGACAAGTTGCAAGGGTGACCACCCGATCCTGTTAGCCACCTCTTACAACAAGCATGGGTTGCTGAAGACCAATTCTAACACGGATCTTCATGTGTACCAATAAATAAGAGCTTCCATGAAGATGCAATCTTGTTAAAATAGATCTTAGTGTTCTCTACTGGTACACAAATATCTGACGACATCACAAGATCACATGACTGGTAGTGAAAGAAAGATCCTTCATCAATCAGACTATCACTTATGAAGTCACAAGATCGAAAGTCTAAATGTGTTTTGTAATAATGAAACCTTGTAAAGCTTAATTCAGGACATTTTCAACAACAGTCAAAGGTTGTAAGAATGATCCTAAATGCTAAAATGCCTCTGCCCTTCCCTTCCATGGCATTAACAGTTGAAAAGGAAAAGAGTTTTCCACCGTCAAATCTTGAACACCTATTATTAGACAGTCTAGCATTTCCTTTCTTCATTTTGACACATCATTGTATCCCAATTGTGTAGATCGATGCTCATGCTGTTGATCACTGGATTGTCTGGTCCAAACTCCATTATTTACAGTCCGCGCCATATAGCTGGAATATAGCTGGGCATAAAAATAAACTAACTCATTCACTTTCTTCATGTTGCAAATTTTGAATAAAAATATTATGTCATTGCCTAGTCAGTAATAAAAGTTGCCACTTTGATACATGTTCCCCTAATCTTGAAAATCTGCTTCATGACTGGCTAATAGAATTGCATAATGCCTTTTCAGGAATTTGTTTTACAAAGCAGAGCCACTGATACATCAGAGAGATACAAAACATATTTAGTACATAAATTCATTGATTTAGGTATCTTACATTTGTTTTAAAAGAGATATGGTACTTGAATAAATCATATTTAATTGATATATAATTGATAATGTCAACATTATCAATGGAATGTTGTTATATCGCTGACTACTGCTTCTCACAACACTCGTTCACCATATACATTTGTTTGTATGTCTTGACTTACTCTTGGTGACAGCTCAGGCGAAGTCTGGTCCTTGGTGCTGGCTGGGATCTCTGAAGAACTCATCAAAGAACAGCGACACCCCCATAACGTGGATGTTCTTGTGAGCAATACCAGCTGGCTCTGACAAACCTCCCAAAGGATTGTCCACAGGACTACCATCCTGCTCAGTGGCAATGTCATCAAAATATTCCATCCTGAAAACAGACAAGGGAGACACTCAATCCAGTAAAATGAAAGCACACCTACAAGGATGTATTTTGAGTTATTTGACAAAAAGCATAATCGTCTGTTCCAGAATGTCCAAACTTCACAAAATTTGGCACAAAGTTCATGCAGCAAGTAGGGCTTCTTTTAACTTCCATGAATCACGCTGGCATCATTGTAACAAGTTTATTACGTAAACAACTTAACAAACATCATGTCGACACCACAAAGCAGCTATATACATATTCACTGGTAATGCGGAACGGTGGGGTAGTCTAACGGTCAAAGCATCCACTTGTCATGCTGACGAACCGGGTTCGATTCCCCACATGGGTACAATGCGTGAAGCCTTTATTTGGTGTCCCCCGCCGTGATGTTACTGGAATATTGCTAAAAGCGGCATAAAACCATACTCAGTCAATCATTCACTGGTAACGAAGGCATGTAGTGACAATGTATTGACGTTGATCAGAATGTGATACAGAAATAAAACTGCCTATTTAGTTATTGCCAGGATCAGTAAACAAGGCTGCCATATTTCTGGTTTTCAAGTACATGCAAACTACAGCATACCTTTCAACCTTGAGCTCCAGAGCTACTCCTCTGTCTGCTCCCTTGTGGAGATGCTCTAACCGGATGGTGGTGTCTACAAAGGACATCTTTATCCTGGACAGCACTGGAACATACAAACATCTACATGAACCACTAATATAGTACCTAGTGATACGACCGCCTCCGTGGTGTAGTGGTTAGAGCATCCGCCCGGAGAGCGGAAGGTCGCGGGTTCGATCCCCGACTGCTTCATACCAAAAGACGTTAAAATATGGTACTTGTTGGTTCCTGCCTGGCGTTCGGCATTAATGGGTACAACAAGGACTGGTCGGCTCAGAGTCAGTATAATGTGTCTGAGTGGGGTATTCATGCTTCACTGCGGCATGGTATCTCAGTGGGCTAGCACTATAAAACCAGCTTCAGTCTAGGCTAGTACAAGCAGCCGCATACACATACACATACACACGCATGCACGTCGTCATATGAGCGAAATATTCTCAAGCATGACGTTAAACCCAATTCCATTCCACCACCACCACCACCACCCAGTGATACAGTCGGGCTAGCTATGCCTCAAAGTTACTTGCCCACAAAATAATTCACTAGTCCGAAATTTGAATGTAGACATGGGTTTCATAATTCAGCAGCTAATATGATAAATATTTTTATCGAGCCATAATACTGGACGATTTAAAATTGTGTTATTACTTAACAAGTCGGAGAGAGTGATATATTTACAAACTGACCCCATGAAAATTCACTAGCCAGTCAGGCAAGTGACAGTGGAGATTTACTGGCCTGACTGGATATTTACTGGCCACGGGCTAGAGGGCTAGTGGCTATTTCACACATTGATGTTTTTGTAGTATGTCATTTTCAATCAGACATCAATAATATGACTTAACAAATACCATATTTTTTAATATCAAAAACAACATAACTACTCTTTCTACTGAATGTTTATGCATCGGTGCACAAAATAAAACTGTGAATATAATCACATGTAGAGTGTACCTACTCCATCATGTTGATACCATGACATGCACTACCAATGACTTGCACTACCAATGACATTTATGAACTTTGAATGACCAACAAAATGACTAACAGGAAGTTAACATTAGCCAATCAGAAATCAGTACTATTTCAAGATTCAGCATGTTTGGGGCATTTGTTTCAAACTGTTTACAAAGTCCAAATAAACAGTTACTTGAGTGTCCGGATTTGTTGACTCTAATTGAACATGTGAAGTTTTAGGCCAACTTGACCCTGAAGGTTAAATCATATTTCATGTAACCTCAGGAAATCTTGGCCTTCAATAGAGGTAAAAGAATATCATAAGGGACCGTTCATAATTTATGGTCAGAGGGAGAAATGATCATGATGATGACTTTTATGAAGAAGCATGTACAATGTGAATGACTCCCCAAATAATTTATGTACAAAGAAAGTTAAGCTCTGCATATCAAGCACATAATCAATGAGAACCCCTTCCCATAATTTTAAGCATACTGTTTTAATAGTTTTATTGACAAATTAAAACACACACACACACCCATCCCTCCCTCCCCTTCCCTCCAAGTACATTTGTACAAATTGATGATGCCCTACCTCCTCAGAACAAAATGGGTGATCCCCCCTTAAAATCACCATCACCCCCTTTGCCATAAATTATGAATGGTCCCTTTTGAGAAGATCCAACATAAAATACTCAACATATTGCTAATACAAGACTTTCATCACACTATTCACAGTGAGCAATGATGAAAGTGACATTCACAGTCATACTGATAACACAAAAGAACATTTTTATTTGCAAGCTTAATTGGTGCAACAAATATGGAGTGTACACACATTATTGCAAACAATTTTGATATTGAATTACACACATTATTTCACGAGAGTGCCATTAACACAATAAAAGTGACCTAGACATCTGACTGACAGACAAAACACTACACATATGGCAGTTGTGGATTCAGCTATCTATACATGTGTACTTATTTTCACCGTTTTCAATGCAGTTACTGATATTTGCTGTTATTCTCATTGCATAATGAGGCACTCAACTGTACTGAAGCATTAGACTTAAGACAGTGGTTTGTAACAGGTGTTAAGAAAATAATTTTAGAGCCACTTGCCACAGGGCATGTGACTTGAAGAAAGTAACTTGTCCTGAGTAATTTTCCACTTGCCCAGATGTTTATGACATCATCATGATGATGTAATTATTAAAGAATGAACCAACATGGTATTTGATGTTAATGTTTACTGGAATATTTATCGAGGAGTGATAAATAGCAAAGAAAGATAACTCTAGTTTATCATCATTGCGAAAATTTCTTCATTTCGTCAAATTTTAATAGCTACATTTTGAGCAGATATGAAATGAAATCCAAGTTTATTTGCAGTTTGAAACCGAAAGCAGAAATTATCTAGTAGCCTACGGACAATTAAGATACCATTATTTGATCACCCGAAATGAAAACTGACTTGTCCCGGGCGTAAGGCGATGGATGTTTTGAACCCCTGTGTAAGTAATCCAATCTGGACAAGACAAAACCGACCGCCTCCGTGGTGTAGTGGTTAGAGCGTCTGCCCGGAGAGCGGAAAGTCGCAGGTTCAATCCCAGACCGCATCATACCAAAAGACGTTAAACTATGGTACTTGTTGGTCCCTGCCTGGCGCTCGGCATTAATGGGTACAACAAGGACTGGTCGGCTCGGAGTCAGTATAATGTGTCTGAGTGGGGTATTCATGCTTCACTGCGGCATGGTATCTCAGTGGGTTAGCACTATAAAACCAGCTTAAGTCTGGGCTAGTACAAGCAGCCACACATACACATACCCACGCATGCACGTCGTCATATGAGCGAAATATTCTCAAGCACGACATAAAACCCAATTTCACCTCACCTCACCTCACCAGACAAAACCAATGACTGATATCATGAGCAGCAATCCATATTTGGTATAACTATGACAGCCACAAACAATGTCACTAAGTCTGGCCAACAAATCCAGGGCCCAGTTTCACAAAGCTATCGTAGCGCTACAACTGTCGTAAGTTTATGTTAAAGTATGGGAGTTACGACAGTCGTAGCGGTACGATAGCTTTGTGAAACGGTCCCCAGGATGTTGAATCTGATGTTGTTGGGAACCAGTTTAACCCTGAATCCCCTTGGCGTCCACTTACCTGCATCAATGGTCTGGGCAAACATCTGGACTCCCTCAAACCCTGTGGTTTCTTCAGATGCTTCTTCTGTGAGCTTCTCAGACTTGAGGACTTCCTGAGCCAGCTGCATGCTGGATGTCATGTGCATGCTGTTCAACATGGAGAGTGTGTCCAGGCTGTCTCCTTCAAATACATCACAGAGTTTTACATACCAATATTTCAATGTTATTACGACAGGGTTAGGACTTAACACTAGCTAGCTAGCCAGGGCTTCCACAAATTCATCTAGGCTGGTACAAATTTCCAGACTTCCCTGCTGTTTTAAAATTACATGGGCATTTTACTTAGGAGATCAACATATTTGAATCTAGGTCTAATCCTACTATGGTGACATGAATAATTGAATCTGGGCCAGACATTGGCAACAGAATCCCATCCTCTTATGACAAGTACTAGCACAGGGTAGCCATGCTTACCCAGAACACCAACTGGTAGTCTGTCAGACAGACCCTGAAACAAATATATCCAAGAAATCCCATTTACCGGTAAGTCTAGAATATGTGGCAAGTCTACATAACCACAGTTTCAGGAAACTGAAGAAAGTCTCTGGGCTCCATTTCATTTCAATTTATGATTATTAATTATTAACTTTTTTTTCTGGAAAATATGTCCATTTCAAAGACTTGATGTTAAACTAACAAACTGGTTTCAGACAGATAACCATGACTATAATGCTCTGAGAAGGGAGTTATTATGTGTTGTATGTGACATGGATCTTGAGCAATGGTTTCGTCAGTAGTTAATGTAGTCACAAAGAAATAGTACAAATCACACTCATTATGTTTGACTGGATTAAGGACAAGATGTTTAGATTGACTTCAGGCCAGGTAACAATATTAACTTGTCCAGGTAAGGAGGGAGAGTACTAATATTTTTTTTCAGTAGATTACACATTTTCACACACGTTAAAAGTAAACTTGATATCAATATATCAAGTGATCTCTTTTGGGCCATATGGGTGGTGGGGTAGCCTAGTGGTTAAAGCGTTCGCTCATCATGCCGAAGACCTGGGTACAAAGTGTGAAGCCCATTTCTGGTGTCCTTTGCCATGATGTTGCTGGAATATTGCTAAAAGCAGCATCAAACTAAACTCACTCACTCACTCTCTTGGGTCATACTATACACCTCAAGGCTTTAAATGCAAACAGAAAGGGCCTGAGGACATGGTGGATAATGCTGGCTTCCAGAGGATATATGAGCCACAATAAATGGATGGGTGATAGCACACACCTGAGATCACGAGAAATATGAAATTTCAAATTAAAAGTTCTATGTTACTAGAGTTTAAAACGGAGAAATACAATCAGGGGTTTCAGTACTGATGAATTCAGCTTATAACAAGACATTACTCAATGAACACATTCCTCATCTGTTTGAGTATGATAAATACACTGAAGAGATGGAGAAAGTCTGTAGGTTTGTGTTAAGGCCACTGGTATATATATACAGTAATGGCTTTGAAAAACAAAATATATAGAACAATCAGCAAATTACCATATTTCCCTTGTTAGCCAACAAGCGTCAATAAATTTACAGACTGTCTACTGTTAGAGGTGCTGTATTCTGCTTAATACTAGAACAGTGATGATGGTCTATCTTACACAATCCCAAATCATATCAGCAGTAATAGATGCTGGAAGTGAATGGGAGTAATCATTACATGTCATAAGGTCATGTGATTTTGTCAAATGATGGACCCAGGTTCTATTACAGACCGAAGTTGAATAAAGACCCAGTTTCTAACTTTTGGACAGAGCACATGGCCTGTGCCCACTTGCACAAAGCGACTGTATAGCTAAGACTGTCCTATGTCTGTGTTAGAGAATGGGAGTTACGATCATCATAGCGCTAAGGCTGCTTTGTGCAAGTGGGCCCAGGTGTCAACTGGAGGAGGATGTGTACTGGCGACCCGGCATCAAATAGAGGAAATACGGTATGTTTCAGCAGCTGGCACCTTAACAGTAACTACTAAAACTCTCAAAAGGCAAGGTCATTACCACTATCATCCCATTGTTTGGGTTGTATTGTGAGCTCCAGGCCAGTGACCTCAACTGTGGTGCTGTCCGTCAGCAGCGAAGTCCATGGAATAGAGACCGAGATACTGCCAATAAATCCATCCACGATCTCAAGGGGGATGTTAACACTCTCCAATGCCTCGTTGAGTGCCTGTCATAAAAAAATGTCATTACTACTAAGAACAGCTAGACACTCGAAACTTCAAATAAAACTGCATTGTCAGCAGTTTCTCCTCAATAATGTCAGATGTCATTATTTATACATACGTTTGAGTACCATGAGTCATAGCTATTGCCATGTCCTCGCTATCCTTGGAATTAACAGAGATGGACACAAATTGGATAAAAAAGTTACATTATTTTCAACCACAAACTGTTGTGTTTTAGCAGTCCAGTACTTTAAGACTATATTGTGATGAATGAAATACAGCAATGTAGGTAAGAAATGCAGATTCAAAGACAAATCATCTAAAAAGAGTGTCATACATCTAACAAATTGTGAATTTATTCCCCTTTTCAACCTGTCACATACTGCATACAGCAAGCTTGAGACAGTATCACTGCAATGTTATTTAAACTATGATGTCACAGCAGTGTCACCCTGAGTTGTGATGTCATAGCCATATAACATCATCATGCAATGAGAGGTGCATGTTTGAAATTGAAATGGGAAATTTGGTAAATTGAGGGACATGGAAAACATGTTTTCATCCATTTGCTAAAAGATATGAACACAAACACTAAGAAATTATGAAGTTTGTTCTTGATGAACATTATGTCCATTTGGGATTCCAATATTATGGCAGGTGTAACAATCTGATACACCAATAGGGCTGAATCACTGTCAGATCAATAGAGATGGGCCATTATTGAAGGCCAAACCATTTGAGAGAAATTACTACCATAATGGCTTGAACCATTCCAATCTATCACCCCCTTTATAGCACTACCTGGAGAGTATGACTATGCCATAAGTATCTTGTAAACATCACAGAACTTCAGCTTCCAGCGCAGACAACTACTTAACCTTACAAGCAATGATCATTACTTCACTGCAGACAGCATACTGTCCAGCTTAACTACTGGCTGAAGTGGGTAGTTTGTGGAAGGTGGATCTATTAAACATTGTAATGAAGTCTTTTACACTTTGCTACTGGTAGACATAATGCATTCTTGTTTACATGAATCACTATACATGTATAGGAAGGAGACTGGCTGATCAGAAATCAATTTGAATCCTCACTTCAATAAACATTCATGGCCACATCAATAAATACTTTATATCTGTGACAAAATTGTTTGTGTCTACTTGTCTGATAGCCTGAACATGGCTCTTAGTAACATTTTCTACAGATATCAGTGCTATTATATGGGTGGATAATATACATGATAGAAGAGTGTTAATGGAAGTAAGAAGTAACACAATATATACTGACACACATTGAAAACGCAAAACCAAATTCAAATGAGGAAAACTTAACAAACAACAACACTTGGATAAAAATTGTTCTACAAATATGTTGAGAATTTCATTGTGCTTCATTTTCATAAAAAATGATTGCAAGAGTTCTGCCAATATGACTGACACGTCAAGCATCACACACAGACCCCCCTTACGTCCGTCAGTAGCGAGTGTGACCTCCCTGAGCCTGTACACATGCACGGAGTCGATGTGGCACCGGATTAAGCACAAACGTCGAACAGGTGCTTTGGGGATGTTCTGCCACTACTGTTGTAAAGCCAGGGTCAACTCAGCAACGCTTGTTTGGCTGGCGTTGACGTTGCCATTGATGAATCCGGCGACCAAGCTCATGTTCATGTTGCTGCCTGTAGATGCATTGTCTGCCATCTGCAAATGACACACAGAACCTGGACCCATTGAAAAACACCCACTGGTTGGTGATTCATGGTGGTTGGAGGCTATGTTGCTGTGCAAAAGGAGTCTGTTGACTTCGATGGCGTTCGCGTAATGGCGTTTCCCGATATGGCCCCTTAGTGCCACAGCCTGCAGACATCAAATGACTGTCACAGCGCTGATGTGGCGTCCTTTACGTCCTACGGTGTTTCGAGGTGAGTTTGCTGCTGTCTGAAAGCGGTTTCTTTGGTGAACTCGTCGGATGTGCCGTCGTGACCGGAGTTTGTCCTGGTAAGGGACAGTCACGGACGCTTCCAGTTTGCTGATGACGATTTTGGAGTCTGTTGATGGTGGATGGGCTCAATCCGAAGTGGTGGGTGACCTCATTTTGTGATGTTCCCACCAACAGCATCCCGATAGCTTGTTCCCTCTGCTGTTCACTGAGCCGTGGCATTGTGTGACTGCTAGTGAAACGGTTGAACCATAGTGCCTTTTATGCGTCCAAAACCTGGCTTTGCATGTGTATATCATGATCATCATGCACCCCAACAGGTCCAAGGAATATGCCAGAGTTGTGTTTTCATGAACTGTACCCATGCCAGAAACACGAAAAGGGTTCGAACCCAGATGTGCATATGGTTTTATTCGGCAACCTCACATCACTATATCTTCGTGTGGTAAATGAAATTGCTTCACAAAACTTTGTTAGAAATTGCCAAAATGGGTTTTGTGTTTTCAATGTGTGTCAGTATATGTTTCATGTAAAAAAAGGAACAAAATAAGAAAGAAAGGACAGAAATGATAGAATGACTTGATAATGACTTTAATATCGATTTCAGATTGTTAGAACAATTATACATGAAACTGAAGACATGAGAAAACATAAAATGGAAGGTATTTTTATAAGATCAAGATGGATTTAAGGTGGAGAAAAAGTAACAAGGTATTTTTGTTGTATGAAAAGAGAAATATTTTGTATGCAAAGTAATAACTCATATCAAAAAGCCAAATGGAGTTGTTTTCACTGAGGAGGGTGACATTACTGAAGAAACAAAAATCTTCCATGAGTATTTATATCAATGTCATGAACAAGAAGTACACCACAGTTATGATTTGAACAGTTTATTGTCTGGTGGCAATATCTTAAATTTGAGTAAACAATTATCTGAAAGTTTAGTATCTTCAATGTGCCCTGGCGGCATGACTAAAATGTATACAGATAATACTCAACTTGATTCATTTAATGAGAAATGAGATAAATTTGACCAGTTCAAATGGTTTATAACCTATTTTTGCACATCAACAAACTGTTCTCACAGATTTACATGGGCATGGAAATCTGAATGTAAGCATGCATAACAGGAAATCCCATTTCAGATGATAACATAGTTTGTGGGTTAGTCTATATGTCCAGGACAACTATTCTTGCAGTTATGTGTTCAAGAATCCAGCTCTCAAGTTTACAGGTGTACATGATGTTTACTGATTTATTAAACAAATTGAAATGACATAATTCTTGTAATGTTTTAAGTTCAATTGGATCATGAATAGGAATGGGCACACTTACTTTCACAAAGGCATACCGGTACCTAAATTGTCTGTCTGGTGAACAATAGCACCCTTTGAAAAAATTGCATTTCTATCCCTGAAATTACTAAATGCATTAAAATCAATAAAAGACCTGGCACAGATGGATTTTTTAAATGTTTTGGGAATTCCTTGGGTGTCTTCCTCCTTCATGCTATTAACTATGATTTTGAAATAGGCCCGGAACTATGAAAGTGAGAAACTAGGTATAATTACATGTTTCCTAATTGGAGATAGCCTAAACAGTTTTTGTGGAATTATTGGTTTACTGTTGTTTTCATTTGTGTATCTGTATGAATGTGTCTCGTGTTCATGAGTGCGTGTTTGTGTTTTATTTACACACAAAAATCTTAAACCTTTATTTCTTTACATTCATACGAAACACTACCAATATTCGGTTGATCACCAAAAAGGGTGCGGGTCCTTTCTTTGTAACATCAATAAAATATCAATTAACAAAATAATAGGAGATTTCAGTAAGAAGGCTTAAAATACTATGGTTACAGACTGAATAATGGATATGTTTCTAACTGAATGCCACATACAATTATCATGAATTAGGAGGGTGGGGTGAGATATTGGCATAATCATCATAGCAATGTCTTTATAATGTCTGACCTGTATTTCTCGAGCATTTCAAATCTACATCAATAAGACCAAATAACTGCAAAAATAATCTAGTTTGTGGTCTGCATGTCAGAGAAAGACTCAACTTGTATTGTTTTTATAACAATGTGATGACGTATTCCAGTTAATACTGATATAACAAGCAATACACTATTTCGTATGAAGATCCAGATTAACCAGTGGTCAATGGCATGAACAAGTAGCCATGCAGTAAGAGCATGACAATCAGCCAGATCATGCATGACACACCGTTATGTAAACATATAATCCCCTTCTTAATCAGCTCTTAGAAGCATAGTGAACTGAGCCTCTCTTAAACCAGCATGCCTAAGTTCCATAAATTTACTTAGCATGTTGTAGTTTCTCAGTATACATTCTTTTCAATGACAGCAATTAACACCAAGAAAGTAGTTCTCATGAAGTTAGAGATTCATGACATCGCCATGACTGGGTCACAATGACATACAGCTTGCACTGTCTATCATTTTGTTTTTTTCATTATATCAGTTTTCAATGACAGCAATTAACACTAAGAAAGTAGTTCTCATGACACCTGAGATTCATGACATTGGTATAACTGGGTCACAATGACATACAGCTTGTACAGTCAGACTGGTTAGTCATGATGAGGGTTTGATGAGGAAAACCCTTTTGTGAGATCAAGCTTCATGCATTCCTCACTTATTCTTTACTAAGATAATGATGTGGAAAAGCATGTAAATGTACATACCAGAAAAGTACCAAACATTAATCTGATGTATCCCCTAAATGAATTCAAAGTTTTGTCCATGCTTACTTGCCATGTGTTCATGCATATTCATGTATAGAATAGCACATGATGAACATGAAAAGTAAGCAGGTAAAACAAACTGTCAACATTACTCAGCAGGACAGTTCGTACATTCTTTGTTTGTTTTCTTTGTTCACAGAGTCAGTCATCTGTGTCAGCATGGTCAGTTATCACAAGTTCACATACGTTTACATACATCATGCTGAATCTCTTTATCCCATGTCATGTCATGATGTATATAGTGGCATGTGTCATTAATTGTTTATTCAAATTAGAAAACATACACATAATTTATATTGATACATCACTTTGACGGGTACTGGCTTGTCAGCTGTAATATCTCTACTATTTTAACATTCATACATGTTAAACAATACACATTGCAAGAAAACACAATCTCAATTCACCAAAATTTGAATTTTGGGGTGTAACAGTACATTACTGCTGGCAAGTTGCAACCAAACCACAACACACAAAAGAGATGATGCATGTTGCAATACTGAGATGAAAATAATGACATATAGTCCATTTATCAACTAGCTATTTTATAATCACGTTCTGTAAGCATGTTTCAGAACAAAAGATTCGTGACATATTGGCAATATGTCACTTTCTGGCCTTCGCCACAACACTTTCATTTTCTTCCTGCCACTGCTTAATTTTGTAACAAAACTACAAACAATATATTCCAATAGTCATTGGTTATGATCATGTTGAGAACAAAGGTCGTATACGGCGAAATAATCTTGGAAACAAAGAGAATATATTACACATTACTACGCAAGAGCCATGACACAAAAGTAAACAAACGAAGCTAAAGGTCGAGTACGGATGTGGGACGATTTTGTTGTTATTGTCAACTGTATTGGTTTTACGAGTGAAATAAAATGTGATGTGTTTTGACATAAAATCAGCAAAACTGCCCTTGATAGTTTTCTCATTATCTTACCTCGACATCTAAATTTAGCTCTTTGATGACACCTTTTCCACTGTACAAATCAACGCTCAGCTGATCCAAAGACAGCTTTTCTTTCAAGAAATGACCAACATATCTTTGGAGAAGATATCTACATGCTCTCTTTTTCCAAGACTCTGGTATTAATTTGTACCAAGGCATCTTGATTCCCTGGCAAGTGCTGTACAGTTATGATGAAAACAAAGTACAGTCTCGCGAACCAAAACAAAACTACGCCATTTTCCTTGTAACGGGACTAGCGCGAGTATTTTCAAGGGAGATAATCTTTAATGTTGTCGAACACACGCGAGTACACTGAGCGCGAAATTTAAAATTCAGAACCAAAGACGTATATACGTCAATACGTCTTTGTCAGAGCGTACCTTCACCATTATATCAAGTGTTGTTTCACCAAATGTAATAAAAATAAATTCCAAGGAAACTTCGGCTAGACATTTTGGTAACTGATAATTAAATTAATAGTGATAGTTATCACGTGAAATTATAAGCTATACGAGAAACATTAACTGTTATCAAGAAAGAAAACGATAGCTTGGTGCCGTTCTAAAGTGTATTTGGTCAAAAAGTAAGTCGAACCTGAGATCTCCAAAATGGTCAGAAATGTATTTTTTTAATTAAAAAAGTTGAACCACCGAGGAAGGATCGCGTGTACATGTCAACCTGGTTATGTTTCATATATATATACGGATGTTTACATAGCAGATTATGTATTTTTTCGCTCCTCATTCGATTTTCAAAACCCTCGGTCGGTCTCTGATACCTCATCTATCTATCAAGTAATACAAAAATACAACTTATACTATAAATAATATATACCTGTACAGGAAAACGCAACGGTTAAATGATTACGTAATAATTCATAAGTTAAAATTCATATCAATTAATGCCTGATATATATAAAATTGCACTTTAGTAGTACACGAAAAATGGGTTCCATTTACCAAATTGTTTGTTTTGGTGTGAAATTGAAAATACTGAAGGATCAGCACTGTCAGTGAACTTAAGACCCCACTCCAGAAATCAAGTGAGAGTGGATTAGTACTATCTTAATACAAGACCCTCTGCTGTTTGAGAATATTGTCAGCATGATCTTCTCAAATAGAGAACATTTATTATATGCTTTATTCATTTAAACAATTAGATGATGTAGCAATATGTCATTAAAATAAAGCAATTTATTTTATAATTATTTTTTATATTATTATTATTATTTTTACAGATTAAAAATTGTATGCAGCAGAGAGGGTTCGTGTGATCCTGGCACAGTCAGGCTGGTAAGGCTCATCATCCTCAGGGCCCTTGTTTAGTTAGGTTATCGCGAATGGGACTTCTCCCAGGAAGTCATCAAGAGTCCAGTGAATGAGTAACCCACTCAAGTGTCAAAGGGCTGCCGATGTAAGGCACTCTTGATATCAGGAGGTACCAAACCAAGGGCTGTCTGGGATGAAAGAGACATTTCAAAGGCGAGGCGCATATTTATCATGGTGTGAAAATTCAATACATAAATTCATTGGCTTTATCAAAAGGACAAGATGGTACCAGCACTGAGAAGTCATCAGTCAGTGAATGGTAACCTACTCCCAAAGAAACATAACATAAGCTGTCTAGCGGTGTATGGAACAGGTGTACATCCATTCCATCACATCATTAGTTGATGGAACTGCATCCATTCCTAGCATCTAAGGTGTGTGTTGAAACAGGGAAATAAAAGAATAGATTTGGATACTACAGCGGGAAGGGAATCCGTTGTGTTCAGCCCCTCGTATTCCCCTGTCCTGAATGTTTGAAACCACAGGGGCGTGTAGAACGCGTTAGAAGGACAGCGTTAGAAAGACATATAGGTATAAGGATCCTTATATAGTACTAGGGTAGGGTATATATACCTATATGTCTTCTAACGCTGTTTCTAAGCGTACACGCCCTGTGGTTGAAACAAGATACGCTTATGAAATACTTTCACCTCAAAGAATCTGCCATTGTCCGAGGGGACCTTTACTAAATGATTGTGCGCCGGTGGGGAACTGATCTGAAGCAAAATATGCTTGATGGCGTTACAAAATAATAGAAGCTAATTGAACAGTTAGGGTGACCACTATAGAAAATATGGATTTTTATTCCATATTCAAATTTGATTTTTCACATTTTTCTGTAGTGCACACTAAATTACTTCGCATACCCTATATACTGGGATTAGTCTGTCTCATCGTCCCTCAACCACATTATTTTCCTCCCGCCTCGCCCTTTCTGTAATGCAAAGTCCTAAATGAAGCATGTCTAGATTTCCTCAGGTTTTGAATCTCCTATCTCACTAGGTACTCATGAAATTCTGTGCTGTTAGGGATATGAGAATTTGGGATTCAATTCCGAAAAGACATACATCGAATAGGTTCCAGGGTTTTATCCTAAAGAATGTCGATAAAATACCCGAGATTATAGAGGATGTCTTTCGCATAGACTGACACTGTTATCGCAAGGCGAAGATTGTTTTATGGAACAGATTCTGTGTCACACATTCAGAGTTGGTTGGTTGGTTTGTTGTTTAACGCCGCACTATTCCAGCTGTATGGCGGCGGTCTGTAAATAATCGAGTCTGGACCAGATTATCCAGTGATTAGTTTAGATTTACGCCGCTTTTAGCAATATTCCAGCAATATCATGGCGGGGGACACCAGAAATGGGCTTCACACATTGTACCCATGTTGAGAATCGAACCACGTCTTCGGCGTGACGAGCGAACGCATTAACCACTAGGCTACCCCCCTACACACTACACATGGGATCTCCCAACCATGTTGTACCCAGGACCTGTTTCGGAATCCTTGGGGGATTAAACGGTATCACTCACTCACTCACGCTCGAGGATTTAGCTAAGATAATCCTCTGTCGGAGGGTTTGTTTTGGCTGCTTGAACATTGTGTATGTGGTGTCGGATAATGCTCATTGTCGTTTAACAATACACCGGCATTCCTTTTGATCTTGCCACCTGTCTCCCTTAACTGAATCTACCCTCGTGAATGTCCAAGTGAACAGGTGGCTTTTACCGTTTGTGATTATGGTGAACAGGCCCCACCGACATTCTAACATTAGCACCACGGTACAGTAGCTCGCCTGGTTATTTAGTAACAATAACATCCACTTAACGAAAGTTTCGAAATGGCAGTATTTTTTCCTGCATATGTAATAAGGAAACAAACTGAAAGGATAATGTATTGATTTGGACAAGACATGTCATCAAAAGGGGGGTCATAAATGCCACGTTAATATCTCTCAGCCAGTTTCATAGAGAAAGCTTACCATCGTTAAACAGCAAAATACGCAGTTTTGTAGAACTGAATAGCACGGTCAATTTCCACACACACACACACACCCCGATTTTAACTTTACCGATTTCTGAGGAGATGAACGATGGACAAGAAAACATGACTTTAGTTCCTATACAGGATAGGGTTCCAGTCCGCTTGATGATGTTCATCCCCACAGACAGAACCTCTTTTGGGTTATCATGTCTTTGTTGTTTAATGCCGGACCAGACTGACTTGTGATGTATGTGCACGATCTATACCGCTGGGGTGAATATGTTGTCACCCAGTCAACTGCGTCAGCAAAGGTTGATGGGGGCCTATTCTAAATGTCAGGGCGTTTTGGAAACCCTATCTTGAAACTGCATGTCAAGTCTGAATTCTTGGAGTTGTTCCTGTGGTGTATTAAAATTCATTCCTAACAACACTGGTATTGCCAAGCTGATTGCTAAAATCCACGCCCAGCTACTGTTATTTCTGTGCCATGAAGATGCGCTAAATCCCCACACTTGCATTTTTGTGCCCAGGTGGTGTATCAATATCCACACCTGGTCACACTGGTATTTCTATGCCCAAATGGTGTATCAGAATGCACACCTGGCCACCCTGGTATTTCTGTGCCCAAATGGTGTACCAAAATCCACAACCTGGCCACAGTGGTATTTCTGTGCCCAAATGGAGTATCAGAATCCACACCTGGTCACACTGGTATTTCTGTGCCCAAATGGTGTATCAAAATCCACAGCTGGTCACAGTGGCATGTCTGTGCCCAAATGGTTTATCAAAATCCACAGCTGGTCACAGTGGCATGTCTGTGCCCAAGAGGTGTATCAAAATCCACAGCTGGTCAGTGGCAAGTCTGTGCCCAAGAGGTGTATCAAAATCCACAGCTGGTGACAGTGGCATGTCTGTGGTATCAAAAATCCACACCTGGTCACAGTGGCATATCCCAAGAGGTGTATCAAAATCCACACCTGGTCACAGTGGCATATCTGTGCCCAAGAGGTGTATCAAAATCCACACCTAGTCACAGTGGCATATCTGTGCCCAAGAGGTGTATCAAAAATCCACACCTGGTCACAGTGGCATATCTGTGCCCAAGAGGTGTATCAAAATCCACACCTGGTCACAGTGGCATATCTGTGCCCAAGAGGTGTATCAAAATCCACACCTGGTCACAGTGGCATATCTGTGCCCAAGAGGTGTATCAAAATCCACACCTGGTCACAGTGGCATATCTGTGCCCAAGAGGTGTATCAAAATCCACACCTGGTCACAGTGGCATATCTGTGCCCAAGAGGTGTATCAAAATCCACACCTGGTCACAGTGGCATGTCTGTGCCCAAGAGGTGTACCCAAGTGCCCATTATGCTGTTGTTTCTTTAAATAAAATGTCCTTCTGTTAAAAACATATTGTTTCCTGAAAATCAAACGTCATAAATGACAACGACTGGGTGGGTAAATAGTATTGGTGCAAAAATGTATGATTTTGAAATTTTCGTAATGCAGAATTTGATATAAATACATTCAAACATTCCATATGCCAAACTTTCTTTTATCAACAGTTTAGTCAATTCTGACTGATCTTTAGAACTCCATACTGATTAGGGATGTTGGAAGGACATGATTAATGTCTTTTAGATAAGGATTCTCATCCAAGAAACATATTACAATGCTGTGTTTCAACAATGAACTACTTAAATATAGAGGCTGGAGAGGTGACTGGGATGACCTCACAAGGGGCGGATGAAGTGCTTCAATAAAGGTTGAACTGAGTCATTGATAAATGAATCACAGTAAACAACAGTTTGAATTGGTTTATTATCCATTTCCATTACAAACAAAATATTACATAGTATCATTCAGCAAAAGATAGCTTCTTCATCATGATAAAAAACCATTTTCTATATTATTTGTCAGGACGAATTG